CGTTCGATGCAAAAGGTAATCGGGTTGTTTTTAAATATATCCTCCGAGGACCCGCTTCGCGTCGACGGAGAGGAGGAAAAGATATGTATGAACATTCGAGATGGAGGATGTCAGAGAGAGAGAGAGAGAGAGAGAGAGAGAGAGAGAGGGAGAGGTTGTGTCGGAACAACCCCCTACGGCAGTCAAGATATAAACACCAAAACACGAGATTAAGTGGGATACACGCGTAGCGTAAACAGCCGAGCTCTACGGGGGCGCAGGCGTGGACAGTGAAAAATTTCGACACGTTCTCAGGGCGTCGCGCGAGCGCTCCACAGCGCGCGTGAGTCCTCTCGCTATCTCAATTTAATTCCACGTATCGCTTCGCAAGAACAATAAACTTGACCGATCGAACATTATAGGAGGCGACAGTTGGCTGCACACTGCGAGAGAAATGGGCACTTTTATCTCGAGTGCCAAGTTGCACTCGCGATATCTCTCCCCGATATCTTCCTCTCGTTCGCGGATGGACGAGCAGGATGGATGGAAGAAAAGATGAGCTGCGAGAGAAGGGAGGGAGAAAGAGAGAGAGAGAGAGAGAGAGAGAGAGAGAGAGAGAGAGAGAGAGAGAGAGAGAAAACGGCCGGACGCGATTAAAAATGTTCGAAGCAGTTCGACGCGCGGGGCGCGTCTGCTCCGCTTTCCCTCGAGCTGCCGTAATTCCTCCGCGATCTCTACGCGGCCCATCCTCGCGGCCGTACGTGGCGGTGTCTGGATAGTGTTTCTTTTGCGTAAGATCGAGCACGAGAGAGATGGTGGAATACCGCGAGACCGGAGGGCGAAAGAGGGAAGGCTAGCTCTCAAAATAAGACACGTTTATCCGGTGCCATGCTGGTTATTTCGGAAAGCGCAGGGCTCTTCTGCTACCGCGGATTTCCGTCGAAGATCGCGCGCGGGGTAGTTGCGCGTAAATAATCCTAACGGCGTCTTTACCACCCCCCTCCCCCTCCTCCCCTCTCCTGCCCTCCCTCGCCACGCTGTTGTACTTCACGTTGCTCAATGTTGCTCGAGCGCGCACCGCGAGCTTCTCTTTTTCGCGTTTCTCATTTCGCGATTGTCGCGATAAAAGAGGACAAGGATCAATCGTGGTCATCGAGAGCGCGGCCATCGTCTCTATTTGTAGACTCGGCAAATTGGACGTTTCGAGGATACGCAGATCGCGAGAGATTTGCACTTGCATTTCGTCCGCGCAAATCTTCGATTCGCTTCGACTAGCGCGAATGTATAAACGAACGGACGATTCCGTGACTCTCCGAGTGCTTCGCTCCTGCGTAGCAGATCTCCGTGTGATGATCGCGCGGTTTTGCGAATGACGCCTGTGACGAGAGAGAACGAGAGAGAGAGAGAGAGAGAGAGAGAGAGAAAACACTATAAATACAACGGGTTTCACCCGATCGTCGTCGTCGTCGTCGTCGTCGTCGTCGAAGCTATTGTCAAAAAGGAACTCTCGGCCGCTCGGTCGCGCGTTCGTCGTTGCAGCATCCGCGCTTGCGGAGAACACGTGAAGCAGCTCCCCGACGGCCACCCAAGCCGCCATCAGACGCGCCGACGAGATTCTCTGTTTACACGATACGTAATTTTATACCGTCGCCGTCGATCGGCGGCTGCGCCTTTACGAACCCTCTCCTCGTCTTTTAGCGCGCATTCGATACCGTACCCCGTCGACCTTTCGAGTAGTCCAGCCATTCACAAATGCACCTGTTGTGCGCGACTGTTTTGCCGGACGTCAGCCGACATTTATCTCGATCCATTATCGGCACCCTTTGTTCTTTGTGCACGTCTCCGTTTTATTCCGCCGCCGCCTATAAATGTAAATATGCCGTCAAGGAAGAGCGAGTAATTACGCGTATGCGGGGCAATTATAAAGATAAGAGCTGTGAATCCTTTCGAAAGAACAGTCGACGCAACATTGAGACGTAGAAATTTGGCGAGAAAATTCATCTGTTATCTTTTTGTGAAAAAACCGCATTGTTGAATGCATTAACATCCGTCAGGACGAAGGTCGGTCTCTCTTGGGGTCTCCGCTACGGATCAGACAATTAAAAGGCTAATTACAAGGGTCACCGCCGCTTACAAAAATGTGCGGAAGATTTGTTATGAGCGTGTGTAAAAGCCCGCTGTGAAAGAAACGAGCTGCCCGCCCGTAATCTCTGGTTCCGGTCTGCGGTTTCCCCGGAAAGCACACGTGCAACCGACACAGCTTTTCTCGGGGTGGTCCCGGTCTTTTGTGATGCGCTTTTATCTTAAATAAAGCATCTGCGACTCTGAGCGGCAATAAAATCTCTCGAGCGTCCGTAAGATGCTGCCCGTCGTTGTCGTGTCCGAAATGTCGAGAAGCACAGAAGAGAGATGCGCGACACGCGACTCTCTATTCTTGCTCGACTCATCGATAACCGTAACTGATTTCAAATCATACCAATGATTTCAAATCAGTTACGGTTATCTGCCAGTCTGCGAGTTTCGCCACTTGTTAGATCTTCCATTCTCCTTCCACGTTTTGCCCCTCTTGCCCTTTACGACAAGAGCCAATTATTTCCCCTCGAGAAGGAGGCACTCGAGGCTGTCGCGGAAAACATCACGAAAGAGCCCGAAAGTAGTAAAACGATAAACAGTGCTACTACCTACGAGGGTTGCTCTCTCCCTCTCTCTCTCTCTCTCTCTCTCTCTCTCTTGGCTTCGAGAAGCGCAGCAAGCAGAGAGAGAGAGAGAGAGAGAGAGAGAGAGAGAGAGAGAGAGAGAGAGAAAGGATCGTCTGCACTTGAACTTTCAACCCTTAAGACACGAGACCCACTACACCGCATGACCTGCGTTCAGTCCGGCGAATGTGCTCAGTCCCTTGCTCTTAGAGACGCGTTAGTTAGTAAATAACACGGAGGAGAGACGGGTGAACGATCCGCGCAACGGAGGAGTCCTGCGACCGACGCGCGTCGACAGAGAGGAAGTACGAAGACAGAGGCAAGATGGCCGCTGCGCACTGCTCCTCTTTCGTCGGCTCGTTTGGCCCAAGGCAAACAAACCTCTCCTGAGAATTCGTGGTCCACATTCGCTGCGCATCCACAGCGCATCCACAGCGTGCTCCGATATGCTCCGACGTCCTCGCGCAATCCGGACGCTATCTTCAGTGTTATGAATGTGTGTCATCAACACGCAAGAGTATACTTGTGATTTTCCAAAGAGAGAGAGAGAGAGAGAGAGAGAGAGAGAGAGAGAGAGAGAGAGCATCTGACGAAGGAGTCCCTCTGTGCTCCGGAGTCCGGTTGTGCAGCAATCTTTGCTGATTGCTGATTACTGATTCGCATTTACTAGTTATTGCAGAAAAGTCAAGTCTGCAAATTAATTTGTAAAAAGCTTTTCACCAATCCGCATAGTCGGGCAGTTTTCTCTTCCAGCAGCGTCTCTCGTATTTAAAAATTCCTTTTTTACGACCACTCGAAAGTGATGCCGCCATCCATTTCGAGATCGTCTCTCAAGGATCACAATAAAACGAAGCGCATAAAGCCGTACGTGACGATAAGGCATGAACTCTTTCTTTATTTTTCACTGCTGCGGTCATTCGACACTTGGTCACGATCAAAGTCGAATAAACATATCTTTTCGATCGACCATCATCGGCATCTCCATCGACATCGTCCCGATATCGAATGACAACGCAGCCGTCGGTCTGTTGAGAGCCTGTTGAGAGGAGATCTCGCACGCGCAGTAATAACACGAACGATACGGCCTACGGGAAATTATTTTTAATACTCGCGACTACGAAATTTGCAGTCGCAGAATCAGAATGAAAAAAAAAAAAAACACCAGCTTGAATATCGCTCTCAATATAGAGCGGATATGGAAACGCCTTGGGTGTTGATGCCTTTTTATCCTCGATTTAGAAAAAGCCAGCTTCCGAGGGAACAGCGAACGTTTCGGGGAGATTGCGAAAATGTTGAAGAACGGCTGCCATTGTCGATGAGAGAAATCGCATCTCGTGCACCGCGAGGAAGTATCACAAGGCGGTACCACGACGAACAGGCGGAGCGTGCGTCGAGCGTCCCGTTGGCCAAGAGGTAGACCAATAGCTTTTCCTTTCCTCTTCTTCGTGTGCATCCGCAGCTATGCATCGCGCTTGCAAGATAGCGATATCTCTTCGAGTCAGGCGCGCACGAATCGCTCGACCTCGTGAGTTTGCGCGTAAAAGAAATTTCACACGTGTACGATGCGAGTGATTGCGGTGATTACACCTCCCTGTTACTTCGAGTCCATCTTTTCCCACCACCTTTTTTAAACCTAGAGATATTTTCTGTTGGAGAGTAGCTCTTGTATCCTTTATCCCCTTTCGATGATACCCCGAACGATGATGAGATGTTATTCACCTTTCAATTTAACACGAGCCTCTCCCTTTCTTTCTGGATCCTCCCGATAATCCAAAAATCTCATGTTTTGTACATTTGCGCGATGTTGCATCATCAGCATCGTCGATGGTGCGCGGAACGGTATCGTCCGCGCGGTGTTGTTCTGTTCTATTCTTACGGCGCCATCACAGCGACAATCGGATCACGTAACCCCGCGCGCGCGCGCGCGTACGACGATATGGCATCGCACCACCGACGAATGAATCCAAATAATAACGTCATTATGCAACTTACTAACGCCCGTAATCTGGCGGGATAACGTGGAGAATGTGGAAGACGCAAAAGCCATACGGGGGCACCGCGAGCGCGAAGGCAGAGAGTTCGGTATCGCAGCCATTGGTCGTGGAGCCGCGTGCTCTCGAGCTGAACGTCAGAGCGCGACCAATCCGGATATCGCGTTCCTCACCCGCGTCGGCACGCCCATGATAGAAAGAAACCTCGTCGACGCTCTGTCATGCCGCTATTAACGTCATCCACGACGGGATCCCGCTCTCCGGTCTCGCTAGCGAGCGAGCGAGCGAGCGAGCGAACAGCAGTCATCCGAAAACACTTAGTGGCGCATCAGCGAGTCCGCCGGCGAGTCGGAAGCGAGTCTAAATAATTGAATACCCCTCCGTCGCCGCCGCCGCCGCCGCCGCCGCCGTCGCCGCGACGAAATCGCGCAAACAATTTACACCCGAGCGTGTAAATATCCGCGCGAACTCGAAGCAAGAGTCGCGCTCCCTCGAGTCGGAGGTGGTGGCCGCCCCGCGCGCGCCGTTGCGGGTTCGTTGCTCCGCGGGAGCGTCGTGACGCCCGCGAGCGCGCTCCCCGTGATCGATCTCGATTCGCCAAGTTGTGGGGTAAGAAGAGAATCCATCGGAACTCCATGCGTCTCGAAACACACCACCCTCTGCTGCACCTCTGTCACACCTGTCACGCTGAGTATCGACCGCGAGATCATCGCCCGTCGTCATCGCGTCGTTCGCGTCGGATAGCCGCAACGGTGAACGTGAACCGTAGAATGCCCGTCAGAATCGGACTGTAGAATACGATAGAACGAGTGGGGAAATCAACCGGACCAGACTTGATGGACCAGAGTGTGATCGTGCCGCGCGATATCGGTGCCGTCGACAGCGTGAGGCTGCTGACGGCCATGAAGAACGAGTCCGACATCGCTGGCATGCATCAACCGGAGCAAACGATCATCGCGCATTCGAACTCGTCAACGGTGGCCGCGCGATCTGTACTGCCGATAGCGACAAGTCTGCAGCAGCAGCAGCAGCAACAGCAACAGCAACAGCAACAGCAACAGCAGCAGCAGCAGCAGCAGCAGCAGCAACAACAGGAGCAAGGTCTGGAGTCGCTCATGTGCAACCCCACGAGTAGCGAGATACCGCGGAAACCCGGCGGTCGACGCCAAGAGAAACCACCGTACTCGTACATAGCGCTGATCGTGATGGCCATTCAGTCGAGTCCGGGCAAACGACTCACCCTGTCCGAGATCTACTCGTTTCTGCAGCAACGCTTCCCGTTTTTCCGCGGCGCTTATCAAGGCTGGAAGAACTCGGTGCGACACAATCTCAGTCTGAACGAGTGCTTCATCAAGTTACCCAAAGGCTTGGGTAGGCCTGGCAAGGGTCATTACTGGACCATCGATCCGTCCACGGAGTACATGTTCGAAGAGGGTAGCTTCCGGCGACGACCACGCGGCTTCCGACGCAAATGCCAGGCGTTGAAGCCGCAGTACTCGCAATATTACTCCGGCCCGGCCGGTCCCGTCGGCGTACAGACACCTGGCTATGACAACTTGACCGGTGGCGGCATTGAATACACCAACGGCTACCAGAACCACCAGTATCAAAACTATCAGGAATACGCCATGTACGCGCCAAGTGCGGCCGCGGCGGCGGCCGCGGCGGCAGCCGCGGTCTCCGCCGCCGATTGGGCGTATCCGGATGGTGCGACGTACAAGTCTCCACCGATCGCCGAGGTCACTTACAAGACCACCGAGGTTACCTACAAGACCGGCGAGCCGGCGACAGCGGCGCCGGTCTATCGGAACGGGGAGCTGGTGGCTTTCAAGAGCGAACCCGGTTCGTTCGGCACCAGAAGTCAGGATCATCAGTTGACGTACAGACCCACGGTTGCCGACGGTTTCTCCTCTCCCTCGGTGAAGGAACATCAACATCATCATCATCAGCAGCAGCAGCAGCAGCAGCAGCAGCAGCAGCAACAGCAACAGCCGCAACAGCCGCAACAGCACCATCATCATGCAGATTACAAGGACGAGACCATGATGAACTACAAGTGCGCCAATTCGACGCCCACTACTCAAGCACCCGGACAAGATTATTACGTCGGTTATGGCCTCGCGGCAGTGAGCAACAACGCCGGACACGACGTCAACATCGCCATGCAGGCTATGCAGGAGCAGCAACCAGCCGGCGGTAGTCCAGTGACGAACGTCAGCTCGCCGCATAGCGCCGGTTGCCAAACACCTGTCACCGATCACGGTGAGTCGCCGTTGCCGATTTGTCAAAAAACACTTCACTTTGTTTCGACATCCACGTGGATCTTTGATCAAATGTCGTCGATTTGAAGAGTATAGCAAACCGTAGAGACCCCGGTAGTAGAACAGAAAAGACGCAACCGTAGAAACGCGACCGCGATGTCACGCCTGAGATCTTTTAGTCCTCTTTGCATCGCGAGGATAACATTGACGGGTCGCGACGTCATTCAGGGGCCATCTGGAAAATCGGAGACAGTTTACGACCTTTCGGGCGCCGTGTCCTGCAAAGTGAAGCCACATCGACCACGACTCGATTCCATCGGATGTGTCCCATCCTTTCTTTACAGGTTTAGAATTTCCCCCGAGCGAATCGAGTTTTCAAGATTTGAAGAGAGGAAGAGATTGTTTTTCTTCACGAGACACAAGTACGATTTGATTGAACGCATTCTTGGTTGTTCCAGCGGGTGTAAAATTATATTAGAGCAAGCTTCGTTTCTGCAAGCTTCATGTAGAAATAAGAGAGTAAGCTTCGTTTAGAAATTAGAAAGAAACGTGTTCTAGACATATAAAGTCTCGGTCGTTTATAGCACGACGTTGAAGGATTCTCGTTGTCGTACGATATACATCGGAGGGTGACACACCGGACGACTCGTTATGGTCGACAGAGACTATTAACGCGAAGACAACACGCATTTACGTCTCGAGTTCGTAACTTGTACTTTGAGTAATTCGACATCTGTAAGACGAGACATTTCTGGTGGTGTTTCTTCTTCTCGCGGGATTTATTTAGTCAACGTCGCATCTCCAACAGAAAAACGATAATAAAATGTTCGTTAGCAATGTTTTATGGTAACGATAATATATGAGGTCGTTGCGAGGAGCGTTTCGCGAATGTATTTGTGTGGGTTCTCCGTCTCCTCGCCTCCTGTCCATCTTAGGTCCTCTTTAATGCAAACATTACCTCAAATATAGTTTTACGCGCCAAGATAATTAGATAATTATGCAAACACACACTCCGCGCGTCGTAAAAATAATTTTCATTGCTCATTCAACGTCGAGCGGCGAACTTGGAAGGGTAAATGCAATTTTTGTTGCCTGCCCGTCTCGTAGCCGCGTGCTAGCAAGTGCGTGCTCGAATCGTTTATCGCGTAAACATTTATAAGAGGCGTAAACAAGATGATTTAATTCGGCCTTAACCCCGCAAAACGAAGCGGTGTCGTAATATTTACGACACCGTCTCTCACCGAAGGCGAATCGATTGGCCGATTTGCATATTAATCCGTAGCTTTCATCGGGCTGTAAATAAAGGATTTGAAAATTAAATTGAAACGAGTCTATCTGTATATATATATATATGTGTGTGTGTGTGTGTGTGTGTGTGTGTGTGTGTGTGTGTGTGTGTGTGTGTGTGTGTGTGTGTGTGTGTGTGTGTGTGTGTGTGTGTGTGTGTATATATAATATATATACTTTACGAGCTCGGTGACGGGGTATAGTTGAAATAATTCCGCGATCGGTAATTTCGCGTTCACTTTCGATCGAGAAGGATAAATCGCGTAAGCACGTTGGCCGTGCCGATGCGAGAGCGAGGAGTCTCTTCCTCTCTCCGTAGCTCGATACAACGCGGATCGACGGGAGATAAACGCGCACCACCCACGCTTCCTCCAGAGCGCAGACTTCTTCTTCTTCTTGTTCGTCTTCCGTCAGTCAGTGGAGTGTAAACGAGATCGATCCACAGACGCGCGGGCCTTGCCTTTTTACTCTTCTTACGCAGCGCTCTCCGTGTATTTCTGGAGCGCGATCTCTTTACTCCGAACTATGGCCTGTTGTGCCGGTATTCGGTCAGAAGCGACTTCTGTGCTCCCCGAAAGCCAGCGTTCGCGCTCTCGCGCGCGCCTTGCGTGCGTGCGTGCGTGCGTGCGTGCGTGCAGTACGCGTTCTCGAAAAGAAAAAGAAAAAGAATTGGTTGGCGCGAGCACAGTCGTGCCGAGAACATTTGGATCCACGAGAGAGAAGGATTTTGACTGGCAGCAGCGCCATCGGACCACCCACGACGTAGGGTCGCGATGCCACTCGCGCGCGACGTCGCGCTGCAGAATCGATCGTAGAATTAAGCGGGCTAATCTTTGATTACACCGAAACGATGTACCGAGACGGTAGCAAGTTTTCGAGTTTTTTGCAATAATAAAAATAAATGTCACAGTTTAGATGACTCTCTGTAGATCTGATACGTATGGTTGAATTGTTGCTACACTCTTGCGATATTCTTGCCGAGAGACCGAGAGACCAAGGATATCATCAACAACAAAGGGATTAGGGCTGCGGGAGGTGATTGCGACTTTCTTACGAGAAGCGAAAATTTAATACATGGTCGCGCGAGAGAGGAGAATGGAAAAAGAAAAACAGGCAGAACAAAACCGAGACACGAGTGAAGTGGCAGCCTCGAGAGGAGGCTACTTGAGAACTGCCGCAGCTTTAGATTTACGACGCCTGCCCTAAGTACCAATTTCTATCGTGAGATCCTTCAGTTCTCTTTTCGTTCTGCAGCATTGCTTGTGCGCCCCGTGAGGTCGTCTCGGCCAACGAAACTAGATGAAATCTCATCCGAGAATACACGGAATGTTTGGGAATCGGTATCAAATATTGTCGAAGCACTCGCATCTCGTCGGAACGATAAAACGGCAGACGTGTATTGCAGTCCCGATGGTCGATACACATTTACAGAACGATTACGAGCGTTAGTGCGACATAATGCGACATCGTCGTTTGCGTGAGACTTTTTCAAAATATCTCTCTCTCTCTCTCTCTCTCTCTCTCTCTCCTCGGTCAATACTGAGTGAATTTTAATTAAACCAAGTTTAATTAAACCTGTTCACATCAAGATACGCCAAAGGATACAAACGTTAAAAGACGAATAAAAACGGTGGATCTGTTTCAGGAATAAAAATGCAATGCGCCAACTCTAGCTCGAGCTCGAACAGTTCCGGCGGCGGAATCGTGGATCGGAAGCCATCCTATTTCGCAGCGCATCCTGGAGGATCGGTGACCTTGAGCTCCTTGAGCTCACTGGGTTCGTTAAATCTGAGTAACATTGGCGGACTGAGTATATCCAATCTACCTGGTGCGGTGTCTACAAATATTCATCACACGTCAACGCCGCCGCCCACGACCATGTATTACGATCAAATCAAGTACAACATGTGAATATGTTTCCTCGAAAAGCGTCGGATTCATGTTATCGAAAAAGTCAAAAGCCCCGCGTTGGCAATCAAGACGGACATTCAAGCGATATTATCGAGTTTTCGAGTATATTCTCGTGATCTCCGACCGATCTCCGAGCGATCTTATCCATCTGTGAGATGACACACGAGAAAACGAGAGCAAGAATTACTCGCCTTTGCGATTCGCAGTCGCAGGCGCGAATAAACAATGTACGTAAAATGTAAGATACAGCGTGGCGTAAAGAAAGAAAGAAAGAAAAAAAAGGAAATTACGACCGATGGCTCAAACGCGCGTAGCGGTGCACACGTCGGGATAATAACGTCCACTTGCAGAGAACGAACGATGCATCTCGACCATATCCTATTTATATATTTGCGATCTACCGATCGATGTAATTAATTTAAGTCTAGTGCGGAAAAAAAACAAAGTCTGTGGAATTAAATAACGTTTACTACAAAAAAGCAAGAAAAAAAGAAAAATTCTCTTTCCATCGACCGAGTTCTTCATCTACATGCTTCCTTGCTCTGTTCGTTGTAGCAAATGCACTTCCAACACTCAACCGGTGCGAGACTGTCCGTGTGAAGATTTAGTAAACAGTTTTATTAAATTCTTTTTGTTCACAAAATCGATGCTACTTGCGCAGAATCAAGCTCGCATAAGCGGAATCAGGCGCAGAGATTATTATTTAGCATGTAATGACGAATTCAAGTGTTAAATCTGAACATTGGCGATTACAATGCATCGAGAATTGGCACGAGGTCTATCGCGACATCGAAGAAAGTCACGCTTCCTATAAACGCGGATGATTACACTCGTTTACGTCACAACGGTTTTGCGGTGACGATAACAATTTGTTGATACCATGACAAGCCTCTTCGAGTTCTTTACTCCACATTGACCGGCAAATTCCCCAACGCGTCCGTCGGTCATCAGACAGTTTGGAGACACATCGTCATCGTGTGACGAATAAAATCAGTGATGTAATATTTCAAAAGAGCTTCGCGCGCAAGCTTCTTTCTCTGTTCTCTCGCGACACCGAGAATCCTGGATTATTCAGATCGATATTATTCAGTACATATTTCTTTTATAGCACTAACACATCTTGATTTGTTTCATAGCAAGTTAAAACAGGTCGGAAATGAATGGAAATACAGGTACAAACACACGGATAATAATACGAATAAAGGCATTTACATTTTTATAAAACATATTGACAAAAACATATTGACAAAAGAAAAAAAATATATATATATTCATAAGTGGATGGATAATAAACGACAGAATCGCGTTGTTGCCCGCCATAAGATTTGCCCGCCATAAAAGCGACGGCGAAAGGCTTCTTTTTCGGCTTTTTACTCGACTGTCCTTATCCCAACAACATCGGGCAAGTCGTCGTGACTCGTCCTTTGGGAAAATCGCGGCTGCGATATGAGACAGAAAGAAGGGAATGCTCCTTCGCGGAAGCGCGGCTCGATAATCGATCTTGTCAGCTCCCAAAATAGTGCTGACACCCGATCTTAGAACCAAGTTATCACGCGGCCGAGGAAACTAGCCGAGGAAAAGTGGATCAGCGCAAAGTAAGTTCTTGAAGATTTTCTCTCGGGAGAATTTTTTTCTCGTATTTCAGCCAGTATATGGTAGAAGAATCTTGATGCGTGCCGAATATATGCGTTCACCTAAAGATTGTTCCGTTCTCGCAAAAATGGTAAAATATTATGAGAAATCGCGTCGCGTAAATTCGTGTCAAAGGAATATGTAACCATTATCTGATCACGACGGCGCAATTCAACGTTGCTCGTGACTTGTATTGACTGAACCCTAAAACTCATAACCGAATTTCATCGAAGATTCTTCGGCTATCGAGAGAGGATACGACAGAGGAGAGGACAGCCCGCGGACGAATCTCCTTTAGCGAACGTCGCCCGGAATGCACATTAAGCCGACGACGAATGCATACATGAGGTGCAAGAAGAGTCACTCAACGACGTCGCTGACAGCCTTCGTGCTGTTTTAGTATTCGTATTCTCGAGACGGTGCTGGTTCCATCGGCGGGAAAATACGCTGTGCGTCTCGAGTAAGAAATACTTTAATTCTTTCTCGAGTCGAGTATAGAAACATTTGATTAGGACATTTGCAGAGAAATTATCGTCATTTGAATAAAAATTATCGGTACAAAACGATCGATCGAGCGATGAGAGAGATGATTTGCTTCCCTCTTATTTATCGTACTGCGAATTTGCCTATTTATTTTTAATTTTTCATACATTTCTGGAAATCACATGTCATCTGTGTATATGTCATGTCCAATAATATATTTCTCGTGTAATCACGAGAATCGTGATATTCTTGTTAAAAATATTTCCACAAGTAGCCACATGTGGTACGCGGTTATCGAATTAAATGAACGATAATAAAAATAATTAGCGGTGCAAGGAGGTCAAGGAAGGTAAGTCTCAAGCCTCATTTATCCTCTTACAACTCAAGTGCTAACACTCGTGTCAAGCTTCATGTCGAAGAGAATACATAAAGATATCCCAAGTATCAGGCACACGCTTGTTCAAGAGAGATAAGCCCTCTACACGGATGAAAATCCCTCAATCTTAGGTAAAAAATAATTTTAATGCAGACTCTTTTTTTCATGCGTCTCATATATCTTATATGCTATATGCTCTAAATATCTTTGAAATATATATCGGGACTTGAATATAAATTAAGGGTGAAAACGAAGTGATACGATTTTCAAAAAACACACGTTTCACACACGTTCCCTCGCATATTTTTGAGCGTATTGAGTGTAAAACTTATCGCGCGCGCGCGCGCGCACGGATCACTTTTTCGAATAGCATTGTTCTCACTGTTGCGTCTTTTTCTAATTTTCTTTATATCATTTAAAAATGTCCGTATGAGTAAGTGAGCAAACAAACGGTAGAAAGAAAGAGAGGGGGGGACAAGGGGGAATATATATATATATATATATAGTGGAAGGTAGAAAATATTCCGTAGGAAGGGGTTTGCTCTGAAATAATAAACTGGTCGACGACGCGGGAAGACTAGGCCTCTGAATGAATAAGCATGGCGATTCACGCTAGGCAACGTCTAGATGAAAAAAAGAATTTCCACGACATTCGAGCAGACAGAAAAGATCGCATTACGACGTAAGTGACAATTGAGACCGATTTGCAATTTACAATCCGATGACTAAAATTTCTTGCACAGCCCACTAACAATATCTTTTTTTATTCGTATTAGGTGATCCATGGGTGAAGCGTCTAATACGCGTGCGCGAGAAACCCGGCCCCTCTGGCATCACTACATCTGGGAACATTGTAGCCATATGGACGTCACCAACAGGTTTGGACAGCGGCTGTGGGCAGCCAGGTCGGTTTTCATTCGCAGATACTGCCAAGTAAATTTTTTACCCTTCGGCTGAGATAAGAAATGGAGAGCATACTGTTGAAGCTGTGCGTGCCCGATAACAGCACCATACAACAGGTTTGTAAGTTTTTACTCGCAACACGATGGTCGATTTGATTTTTCCAACACTGAAAAACACGTGCTTCCTTTCGCTTTGATCAAATGAACGGTTTGTCGAATTTGAGTTTCATTATGTCACTCGATATTCGTTTGATCTCTTTGCTCAGATGCATAGAACTTCGCTTGAGCGAGTTGCAGTACTACTCGTGAACTACTAATCATCTAACTGCACTGCTACATCCGCTAGTGTCGATATTGGTTATTAATTACCGCACATAGTAGCTAACCATCAAAGTGTACCACGCAATAGCAATTGAAAACAATGCTATGTTCATTGCTATCCTTGATTCTGGTATGATGATTAAGTAGATATATCTTTGTATATTTTGTTATGCAGGCCACCGCTGAGCTTAGAAAAGCTCTTAGGAACCCGGACAATATATCAGCTTTGTGCCAACTCATAGTAACTTCGACAAACCCACAGGTTTGTGATTTCTTATAAACTTGAATCGCTTCATATATTATTCTAACTTTTGATAAATATGTGATTGAAAGTGGATGTTTAGGTAAGGCAGTATGCAGCTGTCCTCCTTAGGAAACGTTATAACAAAGAAAAGTACTGGACAAGTTTACCTGAGAATATACGTACCGAATTTAAAGCACTTATTTTACAGGTGAGTAATTTACAAGTTGAGATATTGTCAAATTGCTTTGTATGAATGGAATTTGTTGTTGTATTTCCAACCCTTATATTTGTTATATTTCAGGCCTTAGTAAACGAGCAACAGAAAAATGTTAGAAATGCTATAGCTCAGTTGATAGGTATCATCGTTAAGCATGAATTACCTACAAACACCTGGCCAGAGATTTTACAGTTCATACAACAATTGATTACTAGTGAAGATTTGACAAATAAGGAAGTAAGCAAGATATTGGATAGTGTCGACCTTCTAGAAACTATATGAAACTCTTGACATAAATGAGGCTATTTCTTAGTCTGGCTGATTACTTTACAATGTTAAAAATTTCATTCTAGCTAGGTATTTATACTTTATCCATTATGACAGAAGTCACACCAGATACTTATGTTACGCATGTCAAAACTCTGGCGGTACTTCTCGCTCGAACATTGCACAGTCTTCAGGAAAATTTAGGAAATTTAGTTTCTTATTACATTTTGAAAACAATGAAAAATCTTATTCCTTTGGCTGAACATGACGAAGTGGTACGTATCAACGGTGATGAAATTTTGGATGAAAATTTTAGTGCTGCTCAATATCTTTACTGAAAAATGTGTCATTCTAGCTGATGAATACTTACAATCAAATGATGCCGCTGGTAATAGCCACGATTCAGGCTTTCACTACGTCTGACGTAAAACGAGCCACCGAATGTTTCGAGTTGCTAGATGAATTGTGCGAGAATCTGAATGCTGTGATAGCGCCTCATGTCAAATCTCTTGTCAGTATGTGCCTTGCAATTGCTACTAACAAATCTTTAGACGATTCCCTTAGAGTTAAAGCGGTTGGTTTTATCGGCTGGTTAGCAAGAACGAAGAAAAAAGCACTTGTAAACCACAAGCTAGTAGAACCTATCGTTGGTAAGTTACTTTGCTAAGTCAAGCAGTCAGTAAGAATCTAGCGCAGAATGTCAATTATTGCTTTCGATTTTCAGACATGTTATTCGTACTCATGACCACGCGACCAGATAATGACGGTGACGACGATTATATGAACGGAGAAAACGACAATAATACACCAATAACGGCTGCTACTCAAACTTTAGACTTGCTCGCGTTACATCTGCCGCCAGAGAAATTGATCCCACACATGGTAAATTTGGGAGAAAGAACCGAATTATACCAAGATGAAATCGGAGAAAACTGAGATAAAAAGAGAAAAATTGATGTTACAGTTGCGATATATCGAGCCCGGATTACAAGGCACGGACATATACGGGAAGAAAGCTGCGTATGTGGCTATAGCTGTACTAGCGGAAGGTTGTTGCGAGTACATCCGCTCAAAGTATCTAGAGTCCTTCCTGCGATGCATCTGTCAAGGAATCACGCATCCCTCGCCTGTGGTACGCAATGCTGCTCTGTTCGCCTTAGGACAGTTTTCCGAACACCTGCAGCCGGAAATCTCGCAATATTCTTCCGAGTTACTGCCCGTGTTGTTCGAGTATCTCGGTCAAGTATGCGCCCACATCAAGCAAGAAAAGAAAGAGCCGCCTTCGGTCAGCCGTATGTTTTATGCTCTTGAGATGTTCTGTGAAAATCTAAACGATAGCCTGCTACCATACTTACCGACACTGATGGAGAGGCTGTTTGAGATCTTGAGCGCGGACACACCAGTGCACGTGAGAGAACTTGCTTTGAGTGCCATCAGTTCCGCTGCCTGTGCCAGTAAGGAGCACATGTTGCCGTATTTTGAGAGAATCGTCACTGTACTCAACAGTTATCTCACCGAGAACGTAACGGACATGTGTCTTCAAATTCAAGCTGTTGGTTAGTATAAACGGACGATGGGAAGAGACGATCGTATATACTCTCAACACTCAACACTGTTGCGTTTACATCTTATCTGTTGTGTTTCAGATACCCTCGCAGCAATCGCTAAAACAATAGGTGAGCAGCACTTTGCACCATTGACAACTAGATCTCTGAATTTTGGAATGAAACTGTTAAAAGAGACGGATGATCCGGATTTACGGAAATCCATCTATGGCCTATTCGCCTCTATCAGCACAGTAATGAAGAAGGAGATGGCCATAGCTTTACCCGAGATCGTCGAGTACATGATAATGAGCATACGGAGCTCGGACGGATTTGTCGTGAGTTCGATATATTTGAGTATTGTGCGAATTGAAAAAATCATGTTGAGAATGACAACGCAATATTGTTACAGACATATGTTAAGGACGACGAGGCTACAGCTTTCCCGGTCTATGAAGATGTCAGTGAGGAGGAGAACGAAGAGGAGGACATCGAGAACACTGACAACGAGGAGGATTATGACGAAGACGTTGCGGGTTACAGCGTCGAAAATGCCTATATCGAGGAGAAAGAAGAAGCTGTATTGGCTCTGAAGGAAATTGCCCAATATACAGAGTGAGTTCTTTCAAGTGAGGTCGTCAAATTTGAAGCGTGTAAGCATAAATGAATTGTACGACAAAAGAATATTGCGTTACAGAGAGGCGTTCATGCCGTATCTCGGGAAGTCCTTTGAAGAAACTTTCAAATTGACCGCTTATCCTCTGGAGGATATACGTAAAGCGAGTGTGGAGGCTCTAGTACAGTTCTGCATAAATTTTTCGAAAATCGAAACCAATGAAGGCAGAGAGGCGTTATTGAAGGCTCTTTCCATGTTGGTCTCGCGTCTGGCAGAACTGGTGAGATTGGATGAAGAGGCTACAGTTGCGATTAGCGCCTTGGATGCTTACACGGAACTTTTGAAGACGGTGAAATCGGATGTTCTCGTAGAAGCGGGTCACAAGGATGCTATAATGAATTGCGTGTTGGCTGTGATGAGTGGTATTTATAATTTGTGTTCACCCGTACACTCAATCGTAATTGGCGTGCATTACAAATTTGAATTTCCCACCGCAGGCGTGACAGAATGTCAAGATCAAGAGGAAGGTGAGGCTATCGAGACCGAGGCCGAACAGGATGAACTGTTGATAGAATGCGCGGGAGAAGTATTAGTCAACCTTGCAAATGTGATCGTACCGGAAGACTTCATGTTGTACTTCAACAGCGTGTTGCCGTTGCTTCTGGCAAGACTGGTATTCATTTTTTATGCTAGTTATCCATATTTTTTGCTTGAAATTGGCGGTAGATACACGTTAAACTGAACTAAATTTATTCAGGAAAAGAGCAAATCCGAGGAGCAAAGGTCTTTTGCTGCTGGCACTATTTCGGATTGCTGTTCGGGGCTCAAGCACGTGGTAGCGTTGTTTGTCCAAGAACTACTCCCGATTTTTCTGCGTCTGACCAATGATCCCAGTTCTGAAGTTCGCAATAATGTGATCTACGGAATCGGGGAAATTGCTTTGAACGGAAAAGAAGCCGTTTATTCGTATCCTTTTTAGTCGATGCTTCATCGTAAGTGAACGAGGAATAATGATCGGTCGATTACATGTGCTTACACAAATATATTACGTGACATATAGATTTTAGCACCAGTAATAGGTAATCCTAATTTGTGCAATTGGGATTATTCTTTTCAATGGTATTCCTTAACGATTCTTACGTAGGTATTACCCCGCTATACTGGAAGCTCTGTCGACCGCCATTGCGAAAGAATCGCATGCGGGTACTCGCGATAACGTCGTCGGAGCGATCGCACGACTTATTATCGTGAATTATTCGAATTTGCCGCTCGAACAAATAGTCCCAATTTTTGTCGAACAGTTACCGTTGAAAGAAGACTTTGTGGAGAATAAAGCCGTATTTAGGAGTATTCTCACGCTATACCAAGCCGGACATGCTGTCCTGCAGCCACATATTCGTACGCTGTTGAGAGTCGCGATTAGCGTACTACACGAAGAAAAAACCGGAAGTAGTGGTGAGTTTCTGAGAATAAGCAATTCATCAATTCTTCGATTTATTTGTCATTTGCAATGCCGTCTCGATCGCGATTAGCGTATCAATGTTTCCTATTAGATGTAATAAGTATATATTCTCTCCCTTTGCACAGAAGCGACGAATCTCATCATCGAGTTTATCAAGTCTGCTCAGCGGGACTTTCCAAATGATTGGAACGCACTTTCTAGTGAGTTGCCTGCGGAAGTTGTCACCAACATACAACGTATATTTTCTTAGGATATTGGAACGATTGAATAGTACCATGGCGCTGTCTTTGTTCATTTAAATATCGATCTGCGATATAATTATGCAATCTTTATCCGAAGTGCATTAGGTTTTCTTCCCGAAATCTATTACGACGACAAAATCTAAGAGGAGAATGAGCAACAACTTTCATTCTTCAATTCATTTTTTCACATCCACTCGATAGATCAACGCGTACTTTTTGTTTTTTAATTTTCGAAAATCGAAGTTCCGAAAATAATGAATTTGCAGCATTTATAGCATAAGATTTTTTTATAGAGTGGATTTTTTATAGAGTTCTAGTCTATGACAATTGTCCAAAAAGCCGAGCAAAAACTTGAGCGTTGTGGTTAGATAACAATTTTATAATCCCCGTGACACACACACACATTGAAGCTACCTTCCTATTTCTCGGATTATAAATCTTACATATATGGTAAAACAGATGAACTCAGTATATTACGCTTATTACATTAATCCGATTCTAGGCTGAATTATAGAGCTTATGAGTCTTCTTGTTACGGATCTTATGATTAAGCTCTAAACTTTCAATTCTAGAATCAACGAACTCGTGTGCTGCATCGTCGGATACTTTATACATGCGCATACATGCATGCATACACACACATACACACACACACACACATGCTTTCTGAGAATCGTATAAATATAACAAGGAATTGCGTATGCATGTGTACGTGTGTGTGTGTTGTGTGTGTATGTGTGTGTGTGTGTGTGTGTGCATGTGCGTATGCTTGTGTAAGGAAGTAATGCGAATCTACTCACAAAAATGGAAATTTACGAGATTGATTACATCTGATCAGTTACGATGTATCAATCCTCTGGCAGAAAGTGGAAACAGGCATTCCGAGGGAAGTGCTGGGTAATGCCATTGTTACTGACGAGCGGACGTCGCGTCTTCTCTCTGTAAACGGAAATAGTTGTCATAGTATAACTACATACACATAAAACGTATACATTGAGAATAAATGTATTATGTGAACAAATAAAAGTGTTGTATTATACTTGTGCTTTCTATAAAAGCTGAAAATTTTCTTGGCACACTCGCAGTATTTTGCAAACATTAAATTTTCTCTTCGTAGAAAAGTATCGAGCTTGCTAGTTAAAAATATAGTCCCAATGGGACCTCTAGGAATTTCGTACGACTCAAAACTGATATCGGGCGTGATGCTATCGGTTCTTTATCGAGAAGGTGGCAGATAACTGTGTACGACCAGTCGACTTTTCAAAGGCACCACCGTTGAGCGCTAGTGGGACCAACAGCGACGTATTTGCTCGAGTCGAACGACACGGTGCGCTCTTCTACGTGCACTTGTCGCAAAAATCGTTGATCCGAGATCGCGATATGTCGTTGCATAGAAAAAATCTGGTGCCATAAATTTCCGCACGGCGTTCTTTTTCTCATATCGTGTATCGGCACGTTTGAAAAAATGCGACTCGTGACGGTGATGGTGATCAGTTTCCATGGACGACGTTCTAATTGATCAAAGAGACGGCGATTCTCCGTACGCGTATCCGCGCATCCTTTTCCGCTCGATAAGATTTCGCAATGTCGATAACGACGACGGCGACAAATATTTAATTAAATAAACCTTGGCCGAATCATCCGCGAGCAAATACACGACCAAATGTGCATATTATTGTAAAGTCAAGAGCCAGATGCGAATTATTTCAAAAAACGTGTGTACTCGTGTGCGCGTGTGTTTTTGTGTGCTTGTATGTGTGTGTGTGTGTGTGTGTTGTGAAAATATTTTTTTATGATTATCTCCTTTTATTAATCCATAATTCGGTAAGTTAAGATTCCGACAGTTTTCAATTTACCTTATGATGCAATTTCTTTCTCTCTCCCTCTCTCTCTCTCTCTCTCTCTCTCTCTCTCTCTCTCTCTCTCTCTCTCTCTCCTCCCCTCTTTGTCTCCCTCTCAGTTTGTAACCTCTGTTTGTAACTTTCGATGAAGCACTTCTTTATCAATTAACTAACCAACCATGTCCAGAAAACGATCATGTCGTGTGTTAATTATTATTATCGCGAAACAAACTCTCGTGTATGTGTGCGTGCGTACGAATATTCGACGTGTAACGTCCGTCGATTCTCGCGGTTAATTTTATTAGATAATTATTAGTCCGATCGATCGATCGAGCGCGTTATCACTGTGGAAAATCGCGCTAATGTGATAACGATTTAGCAAAGCCAATCGTGAGAGAGAGACCGCGCGGCGCGGCGGAAATCGTCGAAAAAGGTGTCAATAAGTCAAGCGGCGAATATCGTCGCGCGTGCGACGAGGTACGGCCTTGAGGCCTCCATCATGACTCGAATCGAAAAAAAGCCGTAGGTATACGACTCACGCTGCGCTCGTCACACCTGCCTGCCGGAGAGATATCGGCAGTGGAAAGTCTCGTCGGACGAAAGTGTGGTCTGTTGCGCGAAACGTCGAGTCGAACGCACGAGTTCGAATAACGCGCGCGCGCGCGCGCGCCCGCTAGACAGCCGCCTCGACCCGTTGGATTTGCTCCGCTGCTCCAGCTCGCCCACAACTGTCGCTCGTTTATTGGCTGATCTTACGAAAAACATATCAGGATACGTGCCGTTTGGCCGGTTATCAGTCTCATCAGCGTCATCCCTTACCGATTGATTGGCGAATACGAACACGAGTATCGGGAGTCTGATTGTTCGCTGCGACTGTTCGTGTTGGGCTAACCTTTCAGCGATTGAGCGCGATGCACCATCCGTCTGCTGAAAGAGGATTTGAAAGTGTAAGAGCTTTCGTTGATTTGAGTAATCGAAGTAATTTACTTTGTAAGCTCGAGGGATATGTATAACTGTAAGGGAGTTACTTTTATTTAACGTTCACAAATTAAGTCACTTTCTCTGCTCTCGACGTTGGCTTCTCGAGTAAGTTTCTTTCGTGCGAACAGTAAGCAGGCTTGTAAAATAGTTTTGCTTTTATTCGTCTGTGTAATCTGCAAATAATTGTCCGACGGCCGCGCTCGTCGAGTCGAGTTTCATCGAGCGTTGCAGTTTTTTCATCCGCTCGCGTCGTCTTCCCGCTTGATATCCAAAACGATGTTTTCTCAGCGATTAAACTCGATCATGTGCGCGATGCTAATGAATTCACTGTTTACTCGGTGATTAATTCGACGATTCTTTCGCGGCGAATCGATCGAAGTGACGACGAGGCGCCCGCAGTTCACGTTCGACTCAGGATTCTTCACGATTGAATCATCGTCGCGATAAAACGTCGATCGATCGATTAATATTCCGCTCCTTGGGCGTCTCGTCGTTGGCGAAACCGCTCGTTGAACGCATCCTTTCGCGAGTAGACATTACTCGTCTGTACAGATTCGTTGATCATTTAAGGCCGCGATCGATCCGCGATCCGGAAGAGAGCGCGTGTCGCATCATCGCACGCGGCGCATACGAAGAAGAAGCAGCGAATGGATAGGATACAATTGACGGAATTCGGAAGTTGTAAAGTCGAAACTTGAGCTAAAAGCACAACAACATTTTGTTATCTTTTGTCATCGTCAGCGAGAAGCATCGGTCACCATCGACTAAACGAAAAACACGGACGTCTATAGCTGCCCGTTGCCTGTGATTGTTTAGCGGTCGGTTCAGGTGATTACGACTTGCCAAAGTCGTAATCATGTCACGATCGTTATTGCAAACCCATTGTCGCAGCGAGCGACAAGATGCACCGAGCGTAAATGCGCCGGAGAAAGTGCCCGCCGTGCGGGCGCATTCGCGCTGACTGCTGAAAAATGTTCCGACCGTGACGATGGCATAACTAGAGACAAAAATTATTTTCTCCCCTCTTTCGCGGATAGATTTCACTTCTTTCACTCGCGTCTGCTGTGATCGTCTTGCAGGATCGCGTCGAGCTCCTTGTGGAAGTTGTAAAATTTGCCGCGAGTTTCCTAGTTTGATCGGTATAGTATCGTGAAGACATCCGACAATTGGATTTTCTTCAATTGATCGTACCAAGATGACATATGACGTTAAGTCGAACGCTTTATCGAACGTACCATGATATGTTGCGTCTGCAGGATAAAATGCCTCGTAACTTGCACGAGTAGTGCGTTATCTGCCGACAAAAATAGCCTACCTAATTTCTCGATAAATTTGGCCTATCTTGCGAAGCTTTTACAAAGGCGGGCGGAAAGATCGCAAACGAGAGGTGTAAAAATAGCTATACGAGGAGTTTCCCACCAAACTGCGAGCTTAATGAAGGTACAATTAATACGGGATATTGGCAAGAAAGAAAACTCTTGAGAACGTATAATTTTGTGTGTACTTGCTCTCGAACTTTTTCAACTTGTGCTCCCTTTCTCCAAACTATATCTCAAATTATATTCGCGATCGATAACGATGCCCTCGCCATGGCACCGACCACGAGTTAATTGAAGATCCTATTTCCAGGTGGAACGAGTTTAATTTCTGGACACAGATAGAATCGATTTCTCGGCGAGACACCTTCAAAAATACTGGTGGCCAGATGCAAAAGGAGCACGAAGGATATTTTCGGTGCTACTCGACGTTGGATTTGTTTCGATCGTTGCAACTTGACGAAAATACAGCAGACGCCTCGGGCCCTCGATAGCAGACGTAAACTTATTTATTCATTATATTATTAGTAGCGAGGAATTCTCCTCGCCGGAGAGACGTTTCTCTCTTGGAGATACATCTTCTAATCCGTCCGTAAAAATCGCACTTTTCATCCAACGAACCTGCATATTGTCTCCTGTGATCTGCTTTCATTGTTTGCGATTAACACCATGACGCGCATCGGCTGAAGCCCGCTGGTATAAGAGAACGACAAAGTGTGCTGCATTAATCTCCGTTAGAGCAAAAACGAGAAAGAGAGAGAGAGAGAGAGAGAGAGAGAGAGAGAGAGAGAGAGAGAGAGAGAGAGAGAGAGAGAGAGAGAGGGAGGGAGACGAAGCAGGGAAGTGTCAGGGGGAGCGTTTCGAGTGGCCTATTTGCCTTATCACGATAAAGCCTACGTCGACGTTGCGCTTGGCTCGACTTGGCGCGACCACGGGAAACCGTCGTGGCCGGCGCAAGTGGCATCAGGGCGATTCACTTTTTTCGGTCGCCGGACGATCGGTCTTCTCGCGACTCTGTCGTCAGGATGAGTCCGATGGCCTCAGGATCGCCGTCTTCGTTGTTCTCGTCCTTGTCTTCGTCCTCGTCGTCGCCGTCGTCGTCGTCGTCGTCGTCGTCGTCGTCGTCGTCGTCGTCGCCGCCGTCGTCGTCGTCGTCGTCGTCGTCGTCGTCGTCGCCGTCATCGTCGTCGTCGTCGTCGTCGTCGTCGTCGTCGTCGTCGTTGTCGCCGTCGCCGTCGCCGTCGCCGTTGCCGTTGCCGTTGCCGTCGCCGTCACCGTCACCGTTACCGTCGCCCTCATCATTATTGTTCAGTACCTGTCATCGAGGATGATCTGATCGATCAACACGAGATACCTTCGTAGCGACATGGACATGGAGCTGATGACTCGAGCCTCGTTGACTTCCTTGCAGAAGGTGGATGACGGACGTATCATTTCTCCCAATAGCCTTGACGAGTGGACATGGTCCAGCCTGAGGGTGAGTTGTTCTCCTTCATTGTACAATTTGTCTATTAACCGTATATTTTTTTTTGTTCGCCGTAAGTTTTTTCCTAAAAAGTGTCCATAGTCTCTCAGAGATGATACGCAGCCGTTATCTATAAAAAATATTTAGTTGAAGTTTGAAGAATTATAATCAGAAGTAACGGTGAAATTATAAAAAGAAAACGACAAACATCCCAGCGGCAGATCTCTTAATATTCGATGGCAATGATTTCTGCAATGACGCAAAAACACGCAAAAAGATTAAAGACACTTGCGATCGATATCGCTCTTAATCTTCCACATAGGCGTGAATAAAACTAATATCATCGCGCCGATCTAGGAAAATGTCCAAGTCGCTCTTTTCGACATACATTTTATATTTTATTCCAGCCACTCGTGCATGAGTATTTTGAGTTCTTCGTACTGATCGTTCGTGAAAAAGAAAAAGAAAAAATAGCATCGACGAGAAATGCGCCTTAGGCGGTAGCTTCTCCCACGACATCCAGGTGCTTCTCGACAATCTCGCAAAACTCGATGCGGCTGTGAGGAAAACAAGATTGTAGGAGAATTTTTAGCACAAAGTTATTATTATCAGGAGGGAACGGCTCATGTAACGTCGAATAGAGAGCGAGAGGGAGAGGGAGGAAGAGAATTCTTCGAAAGTGCGACGAGCTTATCGAGCTACGATCGATTTATCTCGGATGAAGGATCTGTCAACGTCGTGACGGCTCTTCGTTCAAGAGTGAACACTTTCATACCGCAAAACCGGAAGAAATCGTCCTATCGCGTTTCTTTTCTTGTCGATTGATTACACGAAAAAATTGCACTCCCGCTGTCGTCGCCGCCACCGCTGCGGCCGACGCGGCGGCGTGAGCGATTTGAAATTTATTTACTACGCTATCGGCGCTCGCGTATCAGAGGCCGTTCGATAAGTTAGATTATTAGAAAAAGCAATCGACTGCGCGCGTCCTTCGCACTAATCCACCGACTAGTATGCAGGTTGCTCGTTCGTGGGGGAAATTCATTCAAAGAACCTTGAAGTCTTCCTCTTAGCCTGTCATTTTAAAAACTTCCCGCTGAAGATCCCCCTTATATTTATACTCGAATTTTTCGTCCGCAGATAAATGTCCATCTCGATGAAAGTATAATCTGTTTCTGGCGAAGACAATGATGATCGGCTATGAAAGGCTCACTTATCTCATCCTTATTGTCATAGTCCGAACGCACTTACGACCTGGAAGGATCAGGTGTGAGGTGAAAAAACGACACACAAAGGCGGATAGGGACAGAAATAACAGGAGAAGAGAGCTTGAGTCGTACGAGTTCGAGATTGAAGATCAATATTCAGCGAGCCGAGGGGGAGAGCGAGAGAGAGAGAGAGAGAGAGAGAGAGAGAGAGAGAGAGAGAGATTCGCCGAGCTGCGACAACGCGGGCAAAACGCAAGCGCGCGAGACGCACGGAAGCACGTTTGCCCTGCTGCGAGCGGAGACACCTCCGAGCGTAGCTCGCAGCCACCGCATTTTCGACGAACGCGTGATTTTTCGGCGGGTGTGGCTGCCGTTGCGAAAAGTCGTGCTCTCGTCGAGCAACGAGATTGCTAGCGTGCGTTTTAGATTGTCGGCGCACGTGAAAAATCGCGCGTGAGTATCGCGAATAGGAGAAAAAAAAACGGCGCGGACGTTTCTCCTACGTCACCACCTTACGATCCTGCGTCCTGATAATATACTGTGCGTTATCTATATGTCGTTGGCCGCCAGTCTAACAATACATTTCATTAGAGAGAGCTCTATATCGACGACTTGGTGACGAAATTTCGCAAAAATCATTCGCCGTAGCGCGTGCACACGTTAAATATATCTGCCGGCGGAGAGTTGAGTCAAACGGCGAGAGAAAGTGGCTATTTGTGCCTGTGTGTGATAGGATCCTTCGACTTTAAGAAAGAACTGAAATGTATTCAAGAACAGGTATTTAATTTTTTTTTTTTTTTTTTACGTTAATCAGATTGATCTTTCTCTCTCTCTCTCTCTCTCTCTCTCTCTCTCTCTCTCTCTCTCAAGTTTAAATTAATCATGTAGATGAAAGCGAATGATTTTAAACTCTTCCGATACATCGACTTAAAGAAATGGCATAAAGGGTGTTCTCCAACGTTACGTTCTACGTCTGCCGCTGTGTGAACTGTTTCGAAAGCAATAAATGTGCTGGAAATAATAACTCGCCGTGTATACATTGCATATGCAATTGATAGCGAATGTACACGGTGCATATGGTGCACGCGGAACGGTCGGGAGCGTGCGACTGCGCCCGACGAGAGGACGGATGCGGCTTGTCGTTTTTACGAGCTTAGCCGCATAATTTGCGCTCACCACGCATACAATTATCAGATCGCCGGCGACCGTCGCGAGCGGGCGAACGAACGGATAAGCCGTGAACACAAGAGACATATCGCCGTGACATACTCGTCAATTGAGAAAAAAGGAACAAGTGCCTTGCTGATTCTCGTACTGATTCGCGTGCTGTGGTGCATCCTGCGAAAGTAACGTGACGTGAGAGAGGAACGAAAGCGTATCGAGATGGTCACCAATTGTCAGCAATTGCCATTTACTCGACCATCAAGTGCGTCCGTGTGTTCACAAGTTACAGCGGAGGAAGAACATTCAGTATCCTGCGCATTCATTTAGATCGTTGCGAATCTACCTTCGGTAAGAGAAAGGACGCGGTAAGAGAGGCTGCCGCGTCGTGAAAGAGCGTCCTCCGTTCGTTCGCCTTTTTCCGATACAGGCTAAAAATATAGCCTTATTGCTAAAAGCGATATTACCGTATCGATATAAAGGGGGATTTCTGCTCTGATATAGAAGGACACCTCTGCTTCTCGATATAAACGGAATAGGGTTCGTCGTCAGAGGGACGACTCTGCACGATCGTTGCTTTATATGGAAACAAGATGCAAAGATACTCTCTTCGTGTAAAGCTCATCTTCAGCGGAACGAAGGAGATATTTTCATGCACCTTTATCTTTAGTTACTAGCTAAGATAAATCTGCGTTTAGCGCAAAGTAGCGTGGCCTTGAACCTCTTTAGAAATAAAGTCTCGCTAATCGTGAGTATTATTGTTCGTTTTCTCTGTGAATGGGTATGAAGTGTCTATATATCTGAGCTTGAGGATATATAGTCCCGTCGCGATAAACACTTTTCCGTATCACGAACATCCGGGATAATCACTGCTATCTGCGGTAATTAGTCGGCATGCAATGTCGAGTACGATTATGATCTCTTACGCGAGTTTCCATTTTCAGAAACAATTCAAGTACAAGAGCCTGGAAAAGCTGTACACAATTTATCAGAGGAGGCTTCAATATGGTTATCTCTCGCTGTTCGTTTTGCTGCAAATGGTGCTCAGATTTACATATTGCCTGACTTTGATCGGGATGGTAAGCGTCTCGAATTCGCAGCTCTATGCTCTATGTTGCGCAAATTGTAAACGGAAATACGTGAGTAACTGTAATTGTTGACGGTAGATCAATCAAAGTCTTTCACTTTCCTTGGTCCAGGCCTCCACGTTCGAGGAATGCCTACCGGACGTCGTGGTCTACTGTACCATAGGCGCCCTGCTCTGTCCAGTGATCGCCTTGTCGTTTAGATCGAAGATCATCGCGAAGAACACGTACCTGCCGGTCATGTTATCCTGCCTGATCGTTGTGCTCCTGGTCATCGGCGACTTGGCGATTCCTCTGTTTTACAACTACGCCACCGAGAACGCAACGTCGATAAGGTATTCTACTGAGGGTAGACCTCAGAGCGGGTACCTCCAACGAGACCGGTGCTGAAGAAAGCAATTACTGTTGTCGCTGTACCTCGCCAAGTTCAGCGAATCGACCAGCTTCCCGGAGGTGGTCGTGTGGCTTGCGTAAATTTAACGATTGTGGTTTACTTCGTGCATTCTTCGTGTGACCACAGTGTTACGACAACGGAGAAATCCAATACAGCGGCGTCATGTAATTTTCTTCCTCTGATTCTTTCTCTTCTTTCTTTTGCATTTTCTAGACCGGCATACGCGACGCACGCGCTTCTCGCGTGCTACGTGTTCCTGCCGCTCACGGAGAATCTTCACGCTTTCGTGCTCGGCATTACGGCCACCATGTGTTACCTGGCGACCCTGTCGTTAATCACCTACAGAAACACGGCCGATTACGTTACCAAGGTAAACCCTCCGCCAGCGATACAAACGTCTGACGTAAGCCGCCGCGTGATTGACCGAGTAAACATAGCCTAAGAGCGAGGAGCGGTGGTTTACTCTACATGACATACTTTTCTTCTTCTTCTCTCTCTTCTACTTCTTCTTCTTTTCCCTCAACCTCCAGATCGTCACCGACACAATATACTTCGTGTGCGTGAACGGGCTTGGACTCTACTTCAGATTCATGAACGAGGTCGTTATCAGACGCTCTTTCCTGGACCGGCGAAAATGCGTCGAATCCACACTCAGGCTTAACTATGAAAAGGACCAAGAGGTACGTCTATAGAGATAACGCACGCGCTCAAAAAGTCCCAAAAGTCCTATCGATCTAAGAATATAATGGGAGGCCAGAAAGAGATTTCTTTCGGTGACGAGATGTGAAATCGTAAAAAGAGGAGGAGGAGAGAGAGAGAGAGAGAGAGAGAGAGAGAGAGAGAGGTGGGGAGAGAACGTGTGTTAAATAATCGGATCATGACAATCTTAGATATCGTTATCTTCTCGCCCCCGAGTTACGCTTTTTCCTCGCGTATTATCTCCCAGAGTCACTCCCTCCCCTCCTCCCTCGCGATCGGTTTGTCGAGAAATTCTACACGTGCGACATCATTGTTTGCAGGAACAATTGACGCGGAGTATACTGCCGCAACACATAGCGGCGAAAATCAAGAAAGACTTCAGGGACATTTTCAAGTTCATAGAGGAACACAAGAAACCACCGCCGAAAGGCAGGCCGCACAAGTAAGAAAAATTGAAGAGTGTGTGAGATATATGTTTAGAGATCCAGGACGCAGGACATTCCGAGTTTTTGAGATAATTTCAAAGCCGATCGCTTGGATCGGTTTCGTTTCACCTTTCAGTGATCTGTGGGTGGAGACGCACGACAACGTGAGCATCTTGTACGCAGATGTGGTGAACTTTTCCGGCCTGACCGTAACGTTGCCGATACGGAAACTTGTGGAAACCTTGAACGATCTGTTCGGCAGCTTTGACGAGGCGTCGGAGAGACACAATGTACTCAGAATCAAGTTCTTGGGCGATTGTTACTACTGCGTGAGCGGTGTGCCAACGCCAAATTCTCAGCACGCCAAGAGCTGCGTTGATCTCGGTAAATAATAAGTTTATTCTTGTCATGCGCCATTCTGAGCGTGCGAGTGAACGAATAGATATGGATAAATATCTCCAGATCGTTTTTCTTTTCTTTTCCGATTTTCTTTTCCGGATGGACCCGTTTGCGAAATGCGATGCACACACAGGCCTGGACATGATAAGAATCATCAACGAGGTGAGGGCGCGAGTACGTCGCGAGAGCGGCGTGGATGTGAATATGAGAATCGGTGTGCACTCTGGCAACATAATATCCGGAATCTTGGGCGCGAACAAGTGGCAATACGACGTTTGGTCGCGCGATGTGGTAATAGCGAATAAGATGGAGCAAACCGGCAAACCCGGCAAGGTTCATGTGACGCAACAGACGCTGGATCTCGTGGACCGAAGCGAATACGATTGTGTGCCGGTCGAGACGCTAAACGACGAGGTTCTCAGGAAATACGGCATACGTAGCTACCTCATCACGCCATCCTTACCGGACACATCGGTCCAGCAGGTGCGTGTCTCCCGGTGGCGTAGGAAAATCGTAAATATCGTATCTAGTCTAACATCGATTCAAATTCACACTCGAAACACAAGCCTCTTTTTTTTTCATACGCTCATATTCGTTGTATTCGCTCGCTCGCTCGCTCGCTCGCTCGCTCGCGGATATCCTGGCAAGATATCGAAATCCTAACTCCTACGCCACTGGTCTTACACCATCCTCTCGTCGAGCGAACTCCCATTGAGTGTTTCGCATCGTTGACAGGCGAACCTTGTTGCAGAACAGCGAGAACACTTTGACGGTCATTAGATCGGACTCGCCGCCACCGGCTAACAAGCATTACGTCAAGTTCTACAACACACGTTCCAACACCAATATCAGCACCAACTCCAGAACAAGTAGGCGACTGACGTCCACGTTGAACAATCAGGCGGATGTTTTCGCGACCACATACAGACGGAGAACGCACTTTATGGACTCCTGCCTGCGAGATTATCACCTGATGCTAAAGGCGGCAGACGCGGAAATGGAGAACGCTATCAATCAGATGCCTCTCAGCAAGTGGGAGTATGTGTATCGCCCCACCTTTGTACTCTCCTTGTTTGTTGTTGTTGTCCTCCTCTTCTACGACGTTACATCGGTTATCGTTACGTTGTACAACAAAGTATCGCTTTCCTTTCCAGACAGTGGAGTAGATGGGAGCACATAAATCCTCTCCTTCTCACATTTCGTCAGTGGAGCTGGGAGATTCCGTTCCTGCGCGAGCCGGATCCTCTCTTTAAATTCTACATAGGCTGTGCAGTCTTCGTGCTGATCTTTATGGGACTTATTTACCTCGTGCCAACGTTTGTGCTCTCCAGGTACGTGCATCAGAGATGTCGATCTGTTTGGCACGTAGGGCGCTTCCAGCAAACGTGATTCGTTAAAGCGAGCGAGAATAACGAAACAGTGAATGTCAAACTTTCAGGTGGCATCTATCTACAACTGTCGGTTACGCATCGGCAATGTTATTCCTGATAGCTCTAATGCCGCTCACATGGATGCACTTTTTGTGGAATCGTTTCAAGGATCCGCATGACGAACATGAGGGCCACGTTCCGCAACCGCGCAACAAACTGTTGTACTTTTTGTACCAGACAAGCATAAAGGTTGAGATAATGCTTTATATTCTTATTCCGTCTCTAATTCCGTCGTTAACTCTACTGACCATATTCCGACATGCCGATTCGATACAGGTCGTATGGTGCTCCTTACTGAGGACAATTTTGTATCTGGTGATTACGATAATGCTGGCGGCATGCGCGATGTTCGACATGATTGTAAGTTTCTTTCAATATTTAATATATTATTACACTGTTAGGAAACGGAGATGATTTTACATTTCCCGCGTATCAAGTTATCTCGCGTAATGCGATTCGAATAAAATGTGTCTGATTCAGTTCGAGTGCGAAAACGTGGATCGATCGAATAATGTGACCTCCAGCGTGACAGCGATTGATTCCAATAAGCTGAAATGCATATCTACACCTTGGGTAAGATTATTTAATTTATACATATTGTGTGCTATCACTTGGATTTTACTTGCATCTCCCCACAACCTCGAGATGTGTGCTTTTACATTCATCTCTTTCTCTCCTAGCAAATGACGGAAACTTGCTCGCTGGCGATTCTCACAAGCTTCCTCTTCTTGAGAGTCCACTATGCTTTGAAATTCGTGATAGGTAGCAGCGTAGTGGCTTTCTATGCGTGGAATGTCTCGGTGCATCGGTCGAATATATTTCAGGTATCGTGCTATACTTGTGATCGATTACCCCGTCTTAATGTCTTAATAGAAAGCACAAGCAAATGGCAAATGTCATTAAAAAATAAAATACATTTTATCGTCATGTTCCAGTCGGGCGACACGTGGAGTCCTCAATTGGATCCTAAAGTGGCGCACGTGTTGAGCGTGGTGTTCCTCACGTTTTCATTACATCTTATCGATCGTCAGGTGTGTCCCTCGAAGTCCTGTGAATTATCTATTGATTCTAATAGCTTGCTACTCACTCGAATTAACATTTTCACTAACGTTCATCACAGGCAGGGTATCTGAGCAGACTGGACTATCAATGGAAACGTCAGCTGACGAAAGAACAGGATGAAGCATTTCACACGAGGAACGCCAACAAGCTTTTATTACGTAACATCTTGCCAGAACACGTCGGTACGTATTGTCTTATATTTTATTTACTTAATTTAGATTAATTTAGATTAGTTAATTTAGATTAATTGTACGAAAAATCAACGTTTCCATTCGTTTCCAGCGGAATTCTACTTGAACATGAACCGAACCGAGGAAAATGAACCTTATCACGAGGCTCACAGCAACGTCGCCGTAATGTTTGCGTCTCTGACCGATCTGTCGATCGATGAAAGCAACATACTAATCGATCTAAATGAGATCATCTGTGAATTCGACAAGCTGCTCTTCGAGCCATATTTTGTGTGCCGTATTGAGAAGATAAAAATTGCAGGTGAGAATGTTCATACATACGTGCGTATATTTATGCGTTTGTGGTCGCGGAGAGATATACGACATAGAGTTGAGATATAAAATGCAGAGTTTTATATTCCGTTGTCATATTCACTTAGGCACAACGTATATGGCAGCTTGTGGACTGGAGGCGAGCCGACGCGACTCAATGCGTAGCACCGAGAGCGACGGGAATCACGACGATGACGTGGTCAAGGTGATGGCACAATTTGCCGTGCAAATGATGTCGGTGCTCGACAGAATAAATGGAAGATCCCTCAGCAAGTCGAAACCGCACAAGTGAGTAATTTCAAGCGCAAGAATGACACAAGATAACGTTATGAGGAACTCTCTTGAGAAATAACACATTGTTTCTTTGACGCAGATTAAGAATCGGAATTTCCCACGGAGAGGTTACAGCCGGCGTGGTGGGAGCCCAAAAGCCATTGTACGATATTTGGGGCGATGCTGTTAACATGGCATCCAGAATGGACACTACCGGACTACCGGGAAAAATACAGGTTGGGTTTTGATTAATTTTCTATGAAATCAAGTGGGTGTGGTAGCCGAGCATAATCAAACACCGTTTCGATTGATTCAGGTGACAGCGGATACAGCCGCCGTTTTGGAACAACAAGGTGTCAAATGTCACTTACGCGGCGAGACGTGGGTCAAGCCGAAAGGATATGTCACGACGTATTTTGTAGGTGTCGATGAGAAGCGAACGTTGGAAAGGGCGGATTCCGTGGAAGAGACTTCATTGTGACGAAAAACACACGATTCGGACTAATTTTACTCAATTGAGCTCGTCGTCTTCTGATCGATAAATCGTTTAAAGCATGCAGGGTGTACAGACAGTCGTTTTCGCATACTAATATTAACGTCATATTAATATACTAATGTGTCTGCAGTCTAAAATGGAGAGATATTTGATGCAATGTCACAGATTTTTCATTTTTTCAGCGTCGTTTGTCGCTGACATAAAAAGTGACTCGCGCGTTACACCCTGCAATGTTTGAGCGAACACAAGAAATCGAAGAAACCAAAGAAAGTGCGAGAGATCAAAGAATGCGGTAAATGAGAGATAACGTGCGAGAATACGTTAACATAAAAAGTACCTCAAACGATACAGATTTCACTCGGATTCGCGATGTGCGTTACTATTTACGCGGGTCACACTGTTATCGCCAGGTTGCAATACTATTGCTGTTAATCAAAATGGAAGGGATGCGTGCGCAGTTGACAGCAACAGTGTCTTCTCTTATCATACACGGATAATGGTATCGCGATACAATTTAGTGTACGCATCGTTATCCGCATATGAAGATCATCGTTGTAATATTTGATTCCGCTCGGTCGAATAATTACGGCCAAAAAAGAAAATGGTCGTGTAATTTATCATTTATCTGTTAGTACGTAACTATCGATCACGTGTTGATGGAATGCACGCGGGAAATACAGAAACTTTTTTTCGGTGTACAGTTGACTGAGCGAATTTACGATAAATTTGAAATCAATTCAAAGATAATTAATCGTCATAAAATGTTACTATGTCGACACTTTACATCTTTACGATACTAGGAACGTCACTTTCCTCGCGTTCACGAGGTTCGCGAGTATTTCGTCGAGTGTTGCGACTCATTTATTTGCGAGTGATCATACACGTTCGTACGTATCATGAAACAAAGTCGAGATTGTGAAAAAGAAACATGTGTATATACACACACACACACACATACAGATACGCACGCATATACATACATACACTCCATGTGTGTGTACATGCACACACATATATATACACATATATGTACAATGTGTTTATTTTTATATTATAAAAGCGATATCGATGAAGAGAGAGCGATCGCTTGCTTGTTTATTTATGTAAATATCTTTTGTATATATTTTTTAAATATTAGAAACAACTGACTAATGTGATTGTCCAACGATTTGAATAAAATATTTATTACCATAAACCTGATTGTCATTTATATACATATATACATATATATATTTTTTTTTGTTTCATATTTTTGCTCGACCGATTAGTTATAAGTATATTCGTGATGCCTTAGTATTTTGACATTTTTATTAATCGTTGATATGAGATCGCATTGCTTACAACATGATCGAAATCTATTTTGCAGATTACAATCAATATATAAATTTTATAATAAAAGTCAATTTTTTATTAGGCAATGTACAAAATTTTTCGCATACATAGTATGCACAATCGTTTTATATATTGCGATATAAAACAGATTAACATTAATCTAGAATTAAATAATCGTATATTAATTAATCTATATAATGTGTACAAGATCATTTAATGTGATAATCAAATATCACTTATTAATAGGACTCGGCATCGATCATTCCGCTTCCTCACGCATTCAGTCACTCACTCACTCACTCACTCATTTCCTTTCTCCTCTCAGCTTCTTCAGTCTCTCATATCGGCTCGGGCAGACTCGTTTAATTAAATTGCAAAAACATTTACACATTTTATCATATATCAGAATACGATACGATATTATACATGCATTTCTCAGACGAAAGATGCAAAATTTGTTTCAATCAAAAAAGGCACTTTCCTAACTAGAATCCTTATTTTGAATTTACTTTTCAAGTGTCACGACCTCGATAACGACCCAGAGAGCACAAATTTCTAAAAGATATTGAGAAAAAAATAAAGCATCTTAGACGTCTTTGGAACGTCTCTTCGAAGTTTGGGCTCTCTCTTTCTCTCTCTCTCTCCCCCTCCCTTCCTCCCTCTCTCACCCTTTCTTCCTCTGGGAAAGGGCAGTTCCATTATCGTAGCTTCTCCAACAAAAATGCGAAATTTGGAAGAAACAGTGCGATATCATGTGTGAATACAGATTGCCTCAAACACGATATATACCCCCCAGTAGTAGTACTTTGAAAAAAAACAAAATTCTGCTCATGCAAAAATTTAAATGGTCAATCGCGTTTGTCGATAAATTTTGAATCTTGGATATAGTCGTTGACTGAGCTTTCATTGGTTTCTCGAATGGGGAATTGGCTCAATCGCTTATTCCTCACTACAACTTTTATAACTAGTAAAATAATTAGACAATTGAAATAAGAGATACATCTTAGCTGAAAATAAGATATGTAAAAATAGCCAAAAAACAATAACAATGTCGATATGCGCTCTTAAAATAAATCACATCGTTAAAACATAATTTCGTCAACATAATTTTGTAACAAACGATCGGCAATGCCTGATTGTTGAATATTGCAACTAACACACATGCGAATAATTGATTCATGCAACAGGATCGATGAAATTAATAACGGGACATTTTTCTTCAATCAATCGTGACTAGTGAACAATTTAATGACCGTTTAATTCGGCAAATTCCATTTTCCAAAAGAACGGAAACACATTATGCTAAAAGATAGAATTCTATTATTAATTTACATCTGTTTGGGACCGTCAGTAGTGCGTAAACACACCGCGATAATTTTAAAACCCGCGAGAAATTTCACACGATTGCCCTCGCGACGCTACAATATAACACAGATGTGAGATCATCTCGTAGGTAATATAGATACACGAATAATCCCTCGATCTCAGGATACGCCATCCTCTTTATTACATAGCATCTGAACCGTATTCCACGCGTATTTTACATGTTTCCCCGCGCTCTCCTGCCCTCTCCTTTTCTCTTCTCTTATTCGCGAAGGATTGAAGGATTAATTCTGTCTTGTTCGTACGTTCGTTCGCTCCGACTGATAAATACTGTTCCCACGTGCGTGTATGTGTTGTGTGTGTGTGTGTGTGTGTGTGTGTGTGTAAGGAGCGCATAATTAAATCTCAATACTACATATTAGATCGGGAAAAATGAAGCCGGCGAGAAGCGATAAGGCGGATCGATAAATTGGAGCAATATCCCATTTTCTTCGTGTCTCTTTATATGTATGTGTGTGTTGCGTTTACGAGAGAAAATCAATCAAACGAGGATGCACATATGTGAAGACGCTTGTTGCTCTCACGTCGAGATTGCGAGCTTCTTTTGTAAAAGAAAAAGGTACGATCGGTAAATGTATGTGACGTAGTAATTAAATACATTTTTGCAAGCCGGGTGACTTATCGAGCGAAATGCGTCGCATGTTTGTATTGAATGCGGGAATACGGTTGCGTATCAACTTGAAAGCTGGAAGGAAGGTCCTCGGTTATTATTTTATTAAACAATCATAATTCCACGGATTTTTTGCGTTTGCTACACTTGTTTCATGTGCGCATTCAGTATCAATGTACTCTTCCTCTGCAACGATTCGCTTGCTTTCAGTGAAACGTAAAAGAAGTAGAATTGACTAGTCGACAAGATTCAAAGAGTCGGTATCGAGGTGTTGTTGTTGTTGTATTATCGTTGTTGTTATTAATATAAAGACGATTGTTCACGACCGACGATGCGTCGTCAAACAATCGTAAACTGATAGAAGCAATCCGTACTTTACTAACAAAGCAAGCATATCGTCCTCTAGTTTCGTTCGTTTTACATCTCCTCACTTTGCCGGTCACAACCACGGAAAAATATCAGCAATTACAGAGCACCTTATCGATAGCTTATTCGCGAATTAAACGAATCAACATCCTTAAATCGAACCACATGTTACTTTTCTCTTTTCGGTGGTTCACGCAAACAAATACAATTGAAAACGACGTATTGTGGACTGACTTAATGTGACTCCTCATTTATTGCCGTTTTATGAACGAAAACATGGTAATACGACCTACCGAGAAACATTCACTATGTAATACATTCCGGAAATAACAGGGAAAATGTATGAAGCGAACCAAAACGTAAACACTATATTTTATTAATACATTTTAAATGGGTTCACTGATACGCTTGTATTTTTTCATTCTATTTGTTTCTTCTTATAGATGGACCTCGACCGAACGACAGGAAACGTGGACAGATGAAACAAGAAGGAAAGGAAGGAAGGAAGGAAGGAAGGAAGGAAGGAAGGAAGGAAGGAAGGAAGGAAGGAAGGAAGGAAGGAAGGAAGGAAGGAAGGAAGGAAGGAAGGAAGGAAGGAAGGAAGGAAGGAAGGAAGGAAGGAAGGAAGGAAGGAAGGAAGGAAGGAAGGAAGGAAGGAAGGAAGGAAGGAAGGAAGGAAGGAAGGAAGGAAGGAAGGAAGGAAGGAATGAAGGAAGGAAGGAAGGAAGGAAGGAAGGAAGGAAGGAAGGAAGGAAAGAAGGAAGGAAGGAAGGAAGGAAGAAAGAGGACAAAGTAATTTCTATATATAAGAGTACATGGAGAGGTAAGGAAATAATAGGAAACTCATAGAATCCATTTCTGCGATCAAGAGTGCGACGCGACTTTCGGTCAGGAATTGAAAGCGCCACGATGTGCTGCGAGATTTCAATTCCTAACTTTAGAGTTGTCACAATCACGATGCACAATCTCGCTCGCTCCTACCAAAACGACTCTTCCACAAGTCGACTCGTCTGACGTACTATAATCCATCTTCTCTAGACGCAGTACGCGAGAACAACACAAGTTCTTCTTACACGAAAGTCTACACGAGGAAGTGGTGTAGCATGGTCATTATCGGAGCGACTAATCAGCGTATCGCACCTCGAGTCATCATACATATCATATGTGACTCTAATTACTATCATAATAGCAATTACATGCGCACATATATGTATATGTATATGTGTGTGTATGTATTTTTTCTCTGTATGTATCGAAATATGTGGTTAATATATGTGTGTATGTGTGTGCACGCGTGTGCGCGCGCGCGCGTGTAGTACGCGCACGCACGCGTGCGCAAAGCCGCTTCGATAAACTTCTAGACTTAACAAAACACGTACATGTGTGTGTATGCATATTTATATTTACGATATACCTAGATAATTTTTTTATTTATATATTTATATAGGCGAATCAATCGCACACGGAAGTGTATATCTGTGTGTATGTATGTGTGAAACATTTAACACGGAAGATCTTACCACTGGATACAACCGCGCGTGCTTCTGTGTACATAATGTATGCATAGGCGCACACGCGCGCACGCTTCTGTGTGTGTGTGTGTGTGTGTGTGTGTATGCGTGTGTGTGCATGCGTGCGTGCGCGCGCGCGCTCGTCACCCATAACAATTTCGTGCTATGCGTGCCGCCGCAACTCGCAAAATCGACGGTATGCTTATTTACAGAGTACAAAAGGCGCTTTCTTTATGAGCATAGCGCTCTCTCTTCCTCACACACACACACACACACACACACACACACACACACACACACACACACACACACACACACACACACACACACACACACACTCTCTCTCTCTCTCTCTCTCTCTCTCTCTCTTTCTCTCTCTCTTGTACCGTTTCCTTTCATAGAATTCGGCTGTAAGATCATAGCCGTTTCTGTCAATAATCACCAAGTCGTACTATCATGACAATGCTGTATGACCCTATCACTATCGATATCTCTACCAATTACTGCCTCGTCCTCGGCCTCTGAAACTACTACCACGAAACTGTCCGCCACGTTTCAATCCCCTCGGTGGGAAGTTGACAGCTCCGGGTCCGCGTGGCCCTCTGCTGTCCAACCATGGCGCTCGTGGCCCACCTCTGAATCCTCCTCTAGTCCCTCTGGGAGGTCCACCTCGCCAGGGTGGGAAAGGCGCCAAGACGCCGATGCGCGGCCGGAAGTTCGGCGACGGCGACGGCGACGGTGACGGTGAACCGTGACCGTCGTGCTCGTGCATCACCGAGTGCACCTCCGTCGGAGTTGACATACCGTGCGGTGAGGGACCACTGTTTGGGTCGGAGTCGATCGACGTTTGCGGCCCGTTCGGTAAAAGAGTCCTCTTCTTGTTGGGGTTATCTTCGTGCGTCTGCTCGTCGAAGTTGCCGTTTGCAGAGGGCCTTTTCAATTCGTTGCTCGGCACGACTGTACCTGCCTGCTCGCTCGTCAACCGCTCGTTCTCCGCACAACTCGCATTTTGCCCCTCGTGCACCGATTCGTTCTCATCGCTCGCTATCTTCTCCGTGGCCACCGAGTGCTCCGAATCTACGTGTTCTTCGTACTCTGAAATAGGAACGTACTGATTTTGTTGCACGTCGTCGCTATCCGTAGTTATCGGAATGACCGTCACTTGATTCATTGATTGCTGATCATCCGATCCGATTGAGGACGGTGCCTGCTCGTGATCAGATGCGATACTCGAGCCCACCGGATAGTCTTGTTGTTGTTGTTGTTGTTGTGGTTGTTGTTGTTGTTGTGGTTGTTGTTGTTGTTGTTGCTGCTGCTGCTGTTGTTGCAGTGGTAGTGGTGGTGGTAGTGCTGGTAGTTGTTGCTGTTGCTGCTGTTGGTTACGTTCGGAATCCTGCAAGCTTGAAGCGTCGCGCGATGTCCGGCGTGTCAGCAACGTCGCACTTTGATTATTATCATCGCGATCCTGAGGCTCCTGAGACTCCCGAGTCGTCACACTGGTCGATGGTGGTGCGTTCTCTGGCGAATCGAATTCCGGCATGCCGATCGGCATACCCTCGTCGTCGAGAATGACGACAGTGTCGGGCGGTTGCAGCAGCAGTGGCCGGCTATTTGGCAAGATCTCGGGTGACGATTGCTGATCCTGCGATCTCGATTTGCGGCTATTCACGAGATTTCGTTGCTTCATGTTGTGATCATCGGAATATCGGTCCCGACGGTTCCTAGGAAATCCGCGACCACTACGATTGCTCCTGTCGTTCCTATGGAAGGACAAATTATCGCGGTGCTGATGATCGCGGTCCGCCGATTGCGAGTACCTGCCACGATTCGGCGACTCCGTCAAAAAATCCTGTTTGGTACGAATATCGTGCTGCCTATCGCGGTATTCAAAGTCCTGCTGAGAAGGATGAAAGTCCTGCTGAGACTGATGGTGCGAACGAAAGTCTTGTTGATTCTGATGAAAGTCTTGCGAGCTCTGCAGGAAATTAGGCGGTGGTCTGTTCTGATGGAAATTCGATTGATTCGAGTGGAAATCTACCGACTGGCCGCGATGAAAATCGGATTGTTCCTGCCGAAAACCACCGCCCTGATTTTGATGAAACTGCGGCGGCGGCGGCGGTGGAGGTGGACCCGTGTGCAGCAAACGACCATCTTGCACCAGTTGACCACGCGAACCAGGCATTTGTCCAGAGGGCAGTGGGATCATGCGCATGTCCATGTCCAAATGCGACGAGGACAGTGATGTTCCTACACGCATGTCACGATCCTGAGACCTCAGATCGACGAGAACTCTGCCCTTTGATTTGTTGTCGTTCTCATCGTCTGACATTTCCATGTCTACGCTTTCGACAATGTCACCGGGTTGCATGTGTCGCCTGGATTATAAGGAGAAAGTAAAACAAAGAAACGTAAGATCATGACGTGCATAATGACGAACAACATGTTACGTTACGAGCGATACAAAGATTTGTAATAAAACTCACCGATAATCTTGGTCACCAGTGGACCACAAACTATTGTTATTTGGCAAAGAAGAGAGAGACAAATCGCTGAGGTTGTTGTGATTCGCAGGACTACCAGTAAGACTGATCAAATTACGATGATCTACGTCCGCCGCTTTTATGAGGCGATATGGCAACTGATTCTCGATAGCCAATGGGATCGGAATCACTCTGTACAAACGATACGACGATATAATGATCTTGAAAATCAGACGATCGTCGTGCGATGATTAAATTGATCGATGATTAAAACAGATTCGTATGTGTAAGTTTCTATGCGTAAAGATGCCGCAGCGACAAGGGCAACTAATAATCATATTACCTATGATCCACGTCCCCGGTGCTATTCAGAGATTCCTGCGGCTGGGGCTCGTTATATTCGACCGGCTCGGCGAAACCGGCCTTTTCATACATGGGCGGTGATTCTGGGGTCTCGGAGATTATCTCGTTTTTCGTCCTCGGCCACGTGGAATCATTATTAGAGTCCCACCTGTCCCCTTCACCATCCATCCACGAGCTCTTGTTCTTGTCGTCGCATTCGCCAGGCCACGTGGGATTCATGCTGTTTTTTCCTGAATACACAGTGAAATCTGCTTTATTACGAAGTATATGTTGCGCGGTAACGCGCAACGACGAAGAAGTGAACTATTAAACTTGCAAAACATTGCTTTTGTACCCTTTTCTTCCCATTTGACCGGTTCCTTGACGCTCTCGTTCGGCGGAGTCCACGTGGGAAACTTGGGCGGCAGCTTGTTATAGCAGTTCTCATCGTCGAGAAAGATAGGCGGTAAAGGTGGAGGAGGTAATGGATTAACCGTGTTGGCGTTCGCGGGACCGTCGAAGGGACCGGTTATATTACTCTGACTGTTTTGACTGGAATACGGAGAAGGTGTGTGTGACTCACTGGACAAATTGCGAACTGGCAAAGGGGTACTATGACTCATCTGGCAGTTGTTTAAACCACCAATGGATGATGCACCCTGACTACCGATCATTCTTGAGATCACAGGCGTTACGGGAAGCTGCCCTAACGTGGGCGAGAGTCTGTAGTTAGGACGTTGTGGCGAGCCCACTTGACCGTCAGATACGTCCAAACCTAGACCCGGTATAGCACCCGGATCCGGCGTCCCGTCGGAAGACGGAAGAAGCGTTTTCAAGAAACTAGACACATTGAATTCCGAGTTGCTCTTCTCGTTTTTCGAAGGTCTCATATTAATCACCTCTATAGGTTTCGCCTGAAAATAGAAAAACAGCATAACATACAAACACGCGCGTGCGCGCTTGAGCATGGCATCGCGAACGTAATTACCTCTATAGAGTCATTGTATTGTTCAGACATTCCAGGAGGCGTCGCGGGCCTTTCGTTGAACAAATTTCTCTAAAGAAAGTAAGAAATAATTTGTACAATCTGTCAAAAATTACACTCGTAACAGCGCAAAATTACTAATTACACCTTTGGACTTTGCACAACAAAATTATGGGACTGTCGCTCCATCTCACCATATTACCAAAATCCACATTTCCTCCCATGAAGGAAGGAAAGTTGTTGGTAAAATCTGCTGACTCGTTAGCCTGTACCATTTCAGGAGCAGGCACAGGTACAGGATCATACTCGTGAGTATATGACCCATAGAGAGTTGGTGGCGCTACATCGATTATCCTCGACGGATTCGTTGCTTGAATTTCATCTCCTGGAAGTTCTATATCACTATCGGGACTCGGTGAAGGTGCATTCACATCGGGCGACGGTATCGGAGAGATTAAAGTCGGCAGCAGCTCGTCTAGCTTTTTCTTCAGGTTTTTCACACGACTACCGAAATTTCGGTATGCCTGTTTAGGAAAAGGTACATTGCAACAGCAAAAGAATAAACATTACCGAATCTTTTTGTAATATCTGACACTTACGTTTGACACTATTTTAACTTCTCCACGTTGAGTCTCATAAAATTGATCTGCCTGCTCCAACAAGTCGACCACTTGTGTCCTTTCTCTAATCTCTGCCTCTAATGCACGTACATAATTTTCAACATTTCGTACAGCCAGTTCAACTTCTTTCTCAGCATCTTCCACTCGCCTTCTGTCTTTTAACGACGAACATAGTTCTTCTGCGTTTTCTATGTCTATATTACTTTCTCGTAAATCACGTAGCCTGGCGTCAGTCGCTTGTTCCAGAGTTGCACATGATCTCATCGTTGAGATTAACAGAGCTGCTTGAAATTCCTCAGTTGGAGCAGCCGGTTGAGGCTCCAGTTTTTTTTTTGGAGCCGCCGAAATCAATCCAGATAGATCAGTGAGAAACTCCTCATTGTAAATCTGTCGTTGATCCCAGATTTTAAAGATTCTCAATATACGATGTTTCACTTTCTCATCTCGGACCATTGTTGTAGCACGTTGCAGAGTTGTGCCCCATGATTCCACAAATTCAAAATTTTTCCGCTTTGAATACTGAATAACATCGTTTGCCAAGTAGAACAATGTGAGACGATGTTCCACTTTGACTGTCAGAAAAAAGAAATATTTTAGAAAAAACAATTAGACCTCAAAAGTGATATTATATTCTCCAACAACAATGGAATTGTTGTTAGCTATTTTTTGACATGTACACTATAGTTGTCTTACTATATTTACAGTCTAATAGAAAGACAAAGTAAAAATTACATTATTTGGAGTTTACCTTTCTTCAAGACCTGCAGCCAAGTGGCAACAATCTTCTTGTGATGTTGTCTTCTCTCCAGACACCACGCGGAGAGCCCTTGTATGGACTCCTGAGAGTCCTTCAGTGTGTGGAGCCTTCGCTCGAAGAGCTCCACGTCGAAATCACTGTTCGCCATCGTGAGTTCACGCGTCTTATCTGACAATCAGTTCACAGCCACGATGCCTGTGCATCACATCGTAACGTGAACCACCGAGAGGAACACGCGCGGTCCTGTCCCGGTATCATATGTACGGAGCTTGTCCAGTAGTTCGAGCGACTTAACCAAATCGCGTTGTTAGCGGTTGAGATCGTAAACACCGTTGGGATTAGAGCGACCAGCGATGACGCGCGACCATCTGACAAGTTGCGAGCCACCGTATGTCGAGTCTCTAGACATACACACGCGCCGACTAAATCCACGGTAGAAACATACCCGATAACACTGAATTCGGAATCCTGTGTGCTGCACGCTTGGTACGTACACCGCTTGTCGAGACGACGACGCCGGTGATCAAGAGCAGCGAGCACTGCGATATCACACGCACTCGAGTTCTCACACTGGCAAGCTGTCGTGACTGCAATTATTATACGCACGACATGTCAACTTTCGCGAGATTATATATTTCAAAATTGTCGTCAGGCTCCGTACTAGTGATCTTGAAAACAAGAGTCCGCCATTTTTCCGGAACCAAAACACGACCGCGCAATGGCCGGCGCGACACTTCCAGCAGTGCAAGGCCGGATTTACAATGCGCTCGCAGAGTCGTTTGGTTGAGTCGCAATTTTTAAATCACAATGTCTTAAGTTAAATCACCGACGAAATGTTAACAAAATCGTTAGCACCGACGAGATATTGATAAAAATCATTATAGTCTTAAGGCCCTCTACAATGGCTACAAGAATAAGGTTGCGTTCCGATATTCACTATCAGTACTGAAAATATATAGCTTATGTCACATATACTATAGATTTTTAGTGCTGTGATTTTTAGGGCAGTGAATATCGGAACATTCCCTAAGGCTGTAAGCGCAAGTAGTAAAAATAGACCAATCACAGTTGATTAATCTTATAATAATCGATTGTAGTTGGTTTATTTCTTAAGCCAGCGGCACACGGTGCTTGTTTTCGTACTAGATTGCTTGCTGGATGAAAATCTGCATTCTGATTGGTACATTTCCATCCATCTTCGGAAATGTACCAATCAGAACACAGTATTTTCATTTAGCAAGCAATCCAGCACGAAAACAAGCACTGTGTGCCGCTGGCTTTACTGCTTAGGGCCAGAGCACAGATCGGAGAGGGAATACAGGCGTAGTTCCCCTGACTCCCCCCACCAAGGTCCGAACGGTAGGCACCCCTCAGGGGTTTTAGCTGGTAAGAGTCCGACATAACCCCTGATTCCCCCCACAGGATCGGGGATATCCATAAAGGCCGTTACACGTAGAAGAATTTTAACCTTAAATGTAAGGCCAAAGAAAACTGACCAATCACAGTCGATTATTCCTCTATTATTGTAAGGAGAATAATTGACTGTGATTGGTCAGTTTTCTTACGACCTTACGGTTGTAGTTACAGATTTTCTACGTGCAAAGGCCTTAAGGATTTCCCCTGCGTGACCAAAAAGAATAAAAAAAAGGGCCAGAGCACAGACTTCTGCATAACGCATAATACACAACGCATAAGAGAATCAACCAATCAGAGTTCTTCATTTCTATCCTGAGGAGGGAAATGAAGAAAACTAATTGGTTTATTCTCTTATGCGTTATGTATTATGTGTAAAGCCAGCGGCACACGGTGCTTGTTTTCGTGCTGGATTGCTTGCTGGATGAAAATATCGCATTCTGATTGGTGCATTTCCATCCATCTTCGAAAATATACCAATCAGAACGCAGTATTTTCATCCAGCAAGCAATCCAGCACGAAAACAAGCACCGTGTGCCGCTGGCTTTATGCAAAAGCCTGTGCTCTTGCCCTTATTCTTGCAACCATTGTAGAAGGGCCTTTATGGGATTTAGAATACCAGAGAATCGCCCTCTCATAGGCCTTCTACAATAAGCTATTAGTCATAAAGTTGTAACGAAATTGACCAACCACAGTCGATTATTTTTGAAATAATCAATTGTGATTGGTCACTTAGCTTATAGCTTATGACTAAAGCCAGCGGCATGCGGTGCTTGTTTTCGTGCTGGATTGCTTGCTGGATGAAAATATTGCGTTCTGATTAGTGTATTTCCATTCATCTTCGGAAATGTACCAATCAGAACGCAGTATTTTCATCTAGCAAGCAATCCAGCACGAAACAAGCATCGTGTGCTGCTGGCTTAATTGCTTATTGTAGAAGGCCTCTCAGGATTATCGTGGTTGAAATATGAAATTCGGGATATCTGTTACCATCCATGCTTATTTCGAGCTATATTTCATATTTCGGTCACGATATTCCTAAGAGGACTAGTGCACAGCGAAATTTCTCTGGTACGCTAAATCCCGTAAAGTCCGTTCTACATTAGTCGCAAGCCACAGAACGCAAGTCGCAAGTCGTAGGAATTCACCAATCACAGTCGAATATTCTCTTAACATTCGACTATGATTGGTGGATTTCTACGACTTGCATTTTGTGTCTTGCGACTAATGTAGAGCGGGCTTAAGGTCAACAGTCAACACTTTATAGTATCTCGTCCGTGCCCTGGATAAATTTTCATATTGGCCAAGGAGACCCCGAGGGGTCCGGAGGTATAAATTTCATGAGCCTATGAAAATGAAAATCTAAACCAGGCGTCTTTTGTGAATTTTTAGAATAGCATTCAGTTCTGCTCGACGAGACGAAAAAAATGACACCTCTCCTGACTTCCTACGATCACCGAAAGTATTCGAAACTCAGTGCTCCATGTTCGGAGAAAAGTAAATAATATTTTCAGGCACTTATTATAGTAACGATAGTAACGATATATTTATACGATATTTTTATATTGCTGGTAATTTGTATCGCGATGGTACAAGGCAGCGATCATGAATCTTTCATGTGAACTTCTTTTTCATTTTTCACTTTTCACAGTAAGTAATTTCACGTGAAAAGTGAATTGTAAAAAAGTGAAAAGCAATATTTCTGTAATACAGATAATTACAAATAATTACCATATAAATGTAATTATAGTATACAAAATGTAAAGTGCTAATAAGCATTATGTAGCTAAAATTTATAGTTGTAATGTAATATAATAATATAATGTAAGTAAATATAATGACTGATTCAAATGTTAATCGTGAAATGTAAATTCTCAAAACGTGAAATATTTCACTGAACTTTCAATTTGCTTATCTATATCCTTCTTTACATGGAATTTGGAGAGGGGAACTACGATGCTACATCCACTTTCAGGTTTCGGCGGTAAAACCTGTATGTGGTGGCAGTCCGTGCTATATCCATTTTTAGGCGGTTTATGTCCGTGCTACAACCATAATAGCGCACTTGACAAGCACGGTCTCGCACATTATTACGCGTTTATAACATAAATTAACATGTTAACATATACAAAAAAATTGACATTGTGTATGATTAATACCATGAAGATCATACAAAGTGTCCGGTAATTAGCTGCCAACCCCAAGTGTGAGGGTAGATTGGGTTGAGACAAACATAAAAGTCCTATACCATTTTGCGAGATTCGCAATAATTATCGAGTTATTAATGACAGAAATCTGAGGAGTAAAAGCTCGCAGACATAGATGATTCGAAAAGCGTTGCAGCTGCTCGGGGCAACGATCATGAATCTTTTCTCTAGCGTGAACTAATAAAAAGTGGAAGACTTCTGTGAATCAGTGAAAAATGAAAAATTTTATATGAATTTGTGAAAATCGAAACATTTCACACGACAATTGAGTCGTTCAACATGGCAGTTGTGCGTTCTGGATAATTCAATGAATACCAAAGAAATCAAAATGACCAAAATAATAATGTCCGTATAGTCCGAAGGATATTACGCGACACGCAAAATCCGTTTGATATAATATTCAAAGAAAATGTTTCAAAATATGTATGTACAGGTAATATAAATCTTATGCACCGACGAAATATACTACAAAGACTGATGGCCTTACCGGGATTTAGCGTACCAGAGAAATTTCCCTGGTGAGGCACCCGGGCGAAAGAGACCGTCTCGCATTTAGCGCAGTAAAATTTAATAGAAACTAATACTTTTCAATCCTTTTCTTCGGATTAAAAAGATTCAGAATTCAGACATATTCAAAATGTCAATACTTTTTAATACGTTTCAATTCGACATTTTATACAGGAAAGCAGGACGAAAGGAATGGGATGCGAGCAACGGATACATAATGCGTCTCCAGACGTGTCAAATCGTTTATTATACAGGAGACTTTGATACGGCAACATGTATACGAATATTTAATTGTCCCATGGACCACTTATATATAATAAAAAAAAAATTAATGCGGATAAATGAACGATTCGTATGAATTTTTCCTTTTATTATAGAGCAATGAAAGAGTAAATCAGTATCGAAAATCGAATACCGATTACTACCATAAATCAGTGTCGGAAAATTGTCCAATGACAATTTGTTCTCATTTTTCAGGTAGTTACCGCTGTAATTTACACAACAAATTAACTCGGTTAAACAAACGATTCGTACCAATTTTTCTTCTCTTATAAAGAAATGAGAGAATAAATCAGTACCGAAAATCGAAGGCCGATCAATACCTAATTTATTCATCAAATTAGCTCGGATAAACGAATGATTCGTATCAATTTTTTTCTTCTTATAGAAAAATGAAAGAGTAAATCAGTACCGAAAATCGAATATCGATCAACACTGTAAATCAACGTCAGAAAATTGTCCACGTGCAATTACAATTTGTTCTTATTTTTTAGGTACTTACCCCACTAATTTACTCAACAAATTAACTTGAATAAACGAATGATTCGTATCAATTTTTCTTCTCTTATAAAGAAATGAAAGAATAAATCAGTACCGAAAATTGGAGACCGATCAATATTTAATTGTATGTATACTTTATTGATTCCCCTGGCGGTGTTACAAATTCCAATATAATCTCTCCTCCTTACTTCCTATTACGCTCGCCCCTATCCCTTCGCATACACACACACACACTCCCATCTCCCGCCCCTCCTTAAATCTATTTTACAAATATCTTACATCTACTCGCTCGGTTATCTCTTATAATTAATTGATCGCTTATCATCTATTCTTATACATATGTATATACCTATATTTCTATATCGCTGTTACTCGTATAATTCTTATTTCCTACCGCCGATTTTCGCTTTCCTCCATTCATTCCATTCCTTCACACTTTCTCCCTCGCTCTCTCTCTCTCTCATTCTTTTAATCCTCTTCGTCCTCCCTCACGCCCCCCCCCACTCCTCCTCCTCTCTCATCCCCCCTCTCCTAGCAGCCTTTCTACCACCTATCCCCATCCCTCTCCCTCTCCCCCCATCGTGCACGATCGATATTTAATTTATTCATCAAATTAACGCGGATAAATGGACGATTCGTATCAATTTTTTCTTTTCTTATAATACAATGAAAGAGTAAATCAGTATCGGAAATTGAATATTGATTAATATCATAAATCAGTGTCAGAAAATTCTCCAAGTATAATGACAATTTGTCCTTATTTTTCAGGTACTTACCCCTCTAATTTATTCAACAAATTAACTCTGTTAAACGAAGGATCCGTATCAATTTTT